GTATGATATTCAGGTTGCCAGTAATTATGTGCTGGTGATGAGAATCCACGTAATTGCTGTAAATTGGTGTCTTACAATGTCATTCTGCTGTTTCATCTATTTCATGGTGGTTAGTCAGCAAGTTGCTTAAGGTCCTTTGATATTTAAATGCAACCATAGGTAATGTGTCAACTGCGGGGAAGTAATCTTTACAATCTCTGATGATTCTTGAGAAATGAATATTGTCAAACTGCGGATGTAGAAAATTGACTTTAAAATAAATTTTGCGTTGAGTGAGACTATTAGAGAGTCCGAAAAGACTAAAATCGAGAATCATGTCTTTAATGATTTGTATGTCGTCGTAGCTTTCTTGAATGAATTTTTTTAGTTTGATAAGGAATTTATTAGTACAGGAGTGTAACAGTTGAGAAGTTTCTTGGGAAAGTTGTCTGAGTCAAAGAAACATTTCAATTGTTTTTTCAATGCAAATGTATCCAAAGTGGATAAAAATCTCGCATTATTTTTTATTTTGCTTCCTCTTATTCCTCTCTGCGTTTTGTTGCTGTAGTGCTTAAATTGGCTGAAAATAGACTTCTTAGAAGTATCTCTATGACTATGTATATAAGTGTTAAGTCCATATGGATAAAGTGAACGTTGTTTTAGTATATAGAGAGATTCCTGAAAAATTCGTGTTTTGTGATTGGGTATTATATCTAGTATCTGAAGTTGAATAGAGTTGAAGTCATGGTGTTTAAAGTGCTCTAATTCTGCTGTATTGAGTTGTGATGGTGTACTTATTTTAATGCTATTTTTTTGTGCGTTGAATTTTTTGATTTAAGCTCTATGGTTATTGATTCGAAAGTTAAGATTGTTTTTAGTCTGTCCTATATATTTTATATGTCAAGTGCCGCATGTAATCATGTAAATACAGTTAAATGTTTTTCATAAAAATTGTATTTTGGGTTTATCTGTAGCAGGCATGGCGTTATTGAGGAAAACTTGAAAATTTAACGCCATGCCTGCTACAGGATAAACCCAAAAAACAATTTCTATGAAAAACATTTAACTGTATTTACATGATTACATGCGGTACTTGACATATTAAATATATAGGACAGACTAAAAACAATCTTAACTTTCGAATCAATAACCATAGAGCTCAAATCAAAAAATTCAACGCACAAAAAAAATAGCATTAAAATAAGTACACCATCACAACTCAATACAGCAGAATTAGAAGCACTTTAAACACCATGACTTCAACTCTATTCAACTTCAGATACTAGATATAATACCCAATCACAAAACACGAATTTTTCAGGAATCTCTCTATATACTAAAACAACGTTCACTTTATCCATATGGACTTAACACTTATATACATAGTCATAGAGATACTTCTAAGAAGTCTATTTTCAGCCAATTTAAGCTCTACAGCAACAAAACGCAGAGAGAGAGGAAAAAGAGGAAGCAAAATAAAAAATAATGCGAGATTTTTATCCACTTTGGATACACTTGCATTGAAAAAACAATTGAAATGTTTTTTTGACTCAGACTTTCCCAAGAAACTTCTCAACTGGTTACACTCCTGTACTAATAAATTCCTTATCAAACTAAAAAAATTCATTCAAGAAAGCTACGACGACATACAAATCATTAAAGACATGATTCTTGATTTTAGTCTTTTCAGACTCTCTAATAGTCTCACTCAACGCAAAATTTATTTTAAAGTCAATTTTCTGCATCCGCAGTTTGACAATATTCATTTCTCAAGAATCATCAGAGATTGTAAAGATTACTTCCCCGCAGTTGACACAATACCAATGATTGCATTTAAATATCAAAGGACCTTAAGCAACTTGCTTACTAACCACCATGAAATAGATGAAACTGCAGAATGACATTGTAAGACACCAATTTACAGCAATTACGTAGATTCTCATCACCAGCACATAATTACTGGCAACCTGAATATCATACAAAACCATCAACTAAAAACACTAATGAGTTATGGTACAAAATTTAGACCAGTCAGAAACATGACTACAAATTACTGTTACAAGACTTTCGAAAACAACATCAACGAATTTATAGTTAAAGCAAGCTATCAACTGAATTTACCCATAGATACCTTCTTAAAATGGAAAGCTAAAATTCTTCAACGCATATCCACCAGAAATCAGTCACCTCAAATTTAAAAGTACACTGAATTGGTCGCAACTTACATCAGATATTAAGTAAATTAAAACAGCTTTTTACTATTACAAAAAAAATAGATAAAGCAACTAATAACTTTAGCATTATATGAAAACAATTCTACGCTGAAGATTATTCATAAAGAACTTCTCAACGCAACTACTTATCAATTAGCCAACCTTACAGAAACATCTATAATAAACAGGATTAAAACTTTTCATAAGAAACTCAATATTACTTTCAATGCAAACTACAACAGATTTACTAATCTTTATGCGATTCCCAAATTCCATAAAACACCATTAAAATTTAGATTTATAGCTAATGGAACTAATAATTACAAGAAAAATATAGACTATTATTTTTCAATTCAACTTAATAAAATCTGTAAATTTATTTTCAATGATTGTAACACTAATCATAACTATTGCTGGATCATTCATAATAACACTCCTGTCATTAATACCATTCAATACCATTAACATCCAAAACATTAACTGCTATGATTTTGAAAACTTATATACCTCACTTCCTCTAGAAGAAATCTATACCAGTCTACTTGATCTACCAAAACTTTTCCCTAATATACTCAATATCATGACTCTTGACAAATGGAAAACCTACCTAAAATGCACACTTTTTCATAACTACATCAAGTTTCAAAATCAACTTTTTAAACAAGTCAGAGGATTGCCAATGGGCTTACATTCCAGCACCTCGATCTGTAATATCTTTTTATTTGTCAAAGAATTTAACTTCCAAAAAAATCTACAACCACAAGAGTTAAATTACTACAAACACACCTACAGATATATTGATGACCTTATTACAATTAATAATTTTGGTAAAATTGAAAACTCCGACATTTATCCGAATTGTCTTAAACTTAATAAAACTAATAATTCACAAAATAGCATAGACTTTCTAGATCTTCAAATCATTAACTACAAAAAAAATTTTACTTTTTGACAAAACAAGAAACTTCAATTTCAATACTAACAAATTAATAAATTGGAACTCCAACATATCCAAAAAAGTAATTAACAATACTATAATTAATCAAATACAACGAATTAAAACTATATGCACAGATACAATAGATTTACAACGCGAAATTTTGATCCTTATCAAAATTCTCAAAAATAATCTAATTCCCTTTCAATTTATCAACCATTGCCTTAAAAGAGCAGGCGTTAAATACTCACTCTAAATCATTTAACTGATAGGGATATGATAATTTATTCCTAAACCTGAGAAGGCGGTATAAGTTGGATGACTGTCAGTTGAAAGATTTGTATATAGTGTAATTACTCAATTGTATATATTGTAAAAAGCTAATTGTCTTCAGACATATACTGTTACTATACTGTTACTAAAAAAATGGGCCTATTTCCTGCCTTTAGACTGTCTATTAGCTCTTGGACAGTGAAAATGCCTTTTTCCTTTCTTAAATTCTTAATCATTGCGACACGACAATTAGCCAGAAATTAATTAATTTCCATTCACTAGTATTTTTCCATTCACTAGTATTTTCAAAAAAATCTTAACAGACGGTCTCTCTCAGATAAGAACTCCACAAAATACATCCCTCAAGAATTCCAAGTCCCACCCACTACCATAAATTACTTCACCCAAGTCTTACCGACTGATATTATTCAAAGCCCCTACTGCCGCTAAGAATTTTCGGACACCCTACACTTCTGAGTCAGACACGAAGAGAACACTTTGCCAACTCCCCCACTAGAAAGAATGTAAGTTACTTAATACCTTTTCTGGCCTTTATATCTTCATGTACATTCACTGATCTTATTTATATTATTTTCTATATTATTTTTATATTATTTTATATTTTCTTTGATTTGTTTTTACAAAGTTTGCATTATTTATCTTTTTTTATAATCTTCTATGTTTATTTCAACTTTACTTTGAATTCGATTTCATAATGACAATTTCCAATGTTTAATTTCTACAAATAATATAGTACTCAAATGCATAAAGATGAAGTGTCGGGGACGGTTACTCGAGTTTTACAGGATTTCTCTACAGTAATTGATTTTTACTCCAAATTGAATTGACTAAAATGCTTCATAAGAATAAGTTCTTTGAGTAGCAACTATTCTATTCGCGGAAATATTTGGCCTGACTAGAATTGCCGGTTTGGCTTTAACTTATAACTCGAGTAAAGACGAAACACTTTCGTATTTACGTATTTTTATCAATTATTGTTCATTGAACGGGAGTTGGTTTGTTCCCCTTGAAAAGTCAACTAATTTCCGATCAATGACAATGATTACATGTTTTAATTTTTCCTTTTACAATTGAAATATTATTCTTCGTGATGATTTAACTCCAGTCCCCGTTAAAACATTATTAACATTTTGCTTTCAAATTACTTCAAAACATCTTTCAAAATATAACTTACCAGTATGGATGCACACTTTTAAAATAATTCTACTTTAATTAAACTTAGGAGATAATATAATCAATTAATCAATACTGTTTAGGAAATAAATTATTATATATATATAATTTTGTGCAAGTATAATACCTTCGCACTAAATGATTTATCTAAATTTATAAAAATAATTCTTAAAAAAGATGCTTTAATGATGAACTGAATTAAACAGACTGTTTCTTATTTTTATACTTGTCGTAATCACTTTCATTCTTATTAGTTTTCCAATTTGAAGGTTGCTATTCTTTATCTTTTGAGAGTTAAATTAGAAGTAATACAGTATACATATATGAATATATGAATAATCAGATTTATATTTACACAGGTAGAAACAAAATGAAAGTAATTATTATAAGAAATGCAAACTTACCATCTCTCTGGATTAAATTTTTCTGGGTCAGGAAAAAATTCTGGATCGTGATGCATAGCATATATAGGAAAGATCACTCTTGAGCTTTTTTCTATGGTTATTCCTGTATTTCCTAGCTTATATTCAGCTGCAGCTGTCCTATCTGTCCTGTAATATCGACGTTTACATATTAAGGTTTCCGTGTTTCTTAATAAGCTCATTTATCTCTATACTTTAATACAAATAATATACAGCATTCAACTGGAAAAATAGGAACATTATACCACCTTCAAAATTTTTCCCATGACTCTAAAATGTCAAAAGCATCATTTGAGAAAATAACCGTGTCTGCTACCAAAATCCTAAAGTGGCTAGAAAAAATATTCGAGTAGTCGGGAAAGTTTGGTGTAACGAGATTTTCAGCGATTTAAAGGTAAGAAGCACCCAAGATCCTACGTATATATCCATAAAAATTTGTTTTAACAAAGAAAATTAAGGATTATTTAACACCTTAACGAAAACAGTTTATTCTGATACTAGAAAAATGTTGAAATATAAATAAAATAAAACGGTTTCATTTTCAAAAATTTCACTGATGAGGTTATATGAAATGGTTATAACAAAAGCGGTTCTGAAAATAATGATGGGAAACAACGAAATCTTTGCACAATAAGATTATTATTATTATTATTATAAGGGCACAGCCCCTATCGAATTTAAGCATTCTGTACCGGTCAACGCGCATAAGAAAAAATCCGTACTTGTAATTGGACATACATTCCGATGCCATCATTTTTTCTTGGCGTAATGACTTTTAAACGGGATTCTTACGGTTTTGTTTTCGATGAATGACGCGCATGAGTGGCACAGAAGCGTGAAAACTAACGTTTATTTTCTTTGAAACGAAAACATTTAGCTGCAGCGGTCTACAGATGGCTTCCCGTTTCATGGAAATGTAAAATTATAAACTATTTCAAAAATGCGGTTAATATCAGAAGCAATCTTAAGCGCTTAGATTATATTGTTACGAAATGTCCAGGCGCGGTAAGATAGCTTCTCCTCAAAGCAGTTTCAGGGTTGCCATATAATGGCAAGAGAAGGCAAGGTTGCCACATTTGGCGAGAAATCGCCCATTTGGCTACATTTGGCGACAAAATTAGCGATATGCCATAGACGGATAAAGAACCTTCTGGAACGAATTCTTACCGGTTTAGCCCAGAATGTTCTTGAACACAAGCCAAAAACTATATAATCTTTGCTGGTACGTGGAAAGTCAGTGCGAGATAGTTAGTATCGAGTCACTTAGTTAGTCCGTCCGGAGACCATCGAGTTGATAGTTAGTCAGTGAGTTCCGAGTTGGTCGTCGAGTGCACTGAAAGAGTATCCTAGTGTATCGCGGTTAGTGCATCGTCGAGAGAAAGTTGAGCTCCGGGAACGACGGGACCGAGGAGTCGGGAACATTATTCTAGTGTATCGTCGAATGCATCGCGAGTTGTAGCCTGGAGAGTCTTGAGAGTACGTGGAGTTACGAGAATGACCGAGCAGAGTCGGGAGCTGTACTCTGGTGCTTTGCCATGAAGCTGTCTTCACCGTTACAGTCTGGAAGCTGTGTTGCTGATTGTTCCAGCGTGTTTAGGAGAGCTTCGACGATTGTAAAACGTGACTTTGAAGCTGTCTTGATTAATACCGGCCAATAAAGGGTGTTTCGATATTCAATCAAGTGCTGTCGTCGTTATTCACCCCAAATCTACAGGAACCCCGTACGAACGTGAAGGAAGAAAATAACATAAGAATATAAATAGCTCAGTTCATGAATTTAGTGCAAAACCCAAAACACGACTATCTCGATCTAACTATAAATGTACTGTGCCTACATTATTATTATTGAAATTTGTTTGCATTCTGTTCCTTTCACATTTCAGAAAACATTTCCTTTGCAAATGTTATGTTATTTCTATGTTAATATCCGTGTCATTTCTAATAGTCTGTTGCCTTAAATGAAAGAATAAAGTGCATTCAGTCATTGAATTTAATACACGTGTATAAGAAAAGAAACTTCCTTCTCTGACAGACACTACTTTATGCAAAGATACAAAAGATGTTACACTTTAGTCACATGCTTTCGAAGATTCATTTATTAAAAATCTCTGGACTTAATATTTATGCACATGTACGGAGTTAGCACAGGAAGAAATAATACTTTTTCTCACTAGGAGAGGGGGGGAGAAACTACATTTTTTTAATATTAAAGTCACCACACTACAAACTGTTGAAAGAAGTGTAATCTCTAAGCAACAAAAATACAACGCACGTAGTAATCTTTTCGGTACTACTATCAAAATGGGAACAAACGGTATAGAGATGTACCCTCGAGACCAAGCAAAGGCTTTCCTAAGCGTTGGAGAAATTATGTCATCAGAATCTACATCCAATCACAAGAAACGATTTTCCCTGTGTGCGTGGCGCGGTACAAAATGCTTATATCCGCCCCGATTCTCAGAGCCGGCACAAGCCGGCAGTATGATAAAAAAAAATGGGACTGGTCAGAAATGCACAAGATGTCATATGTTCATTTGAAAAATGAAAAAAAAAAAAAAAAAAAAGAGGGAGGAAAATGTTCTCTTTGCAAATGATTATCTCCTTTTTTTTTCCTTGATGGTGAGAAGGTTAAATGATATAGGAAATCACAAAAAAATGCAATGGATTGGATTAATCGGCAGAGTACATCACGGTAGTATGTTTAAGCAAAGGAATACCTTCTCAGAGGAATTTCTAAAGAAACCTGGCTCGTATTAATTTTATACATGGGCAAAATAACGAAAATACTCATGCAATTAGCTCTTTCGCCAGGATCAGACTGCACTTCCCTTATCCACTCACGCAGCGTCTTCTCTTCAGTATAAAACTCGATCGAACTACCAGTGTTCAGCGATTTTCACTTTGCCACCGGTGTGCTCAGATTTAACTGCTCAACAGACAAAGTATAATGCAAAACGTTCATAGTCTTTGGCTAAAATCTGGTTTCAATTTATCAAGAAAGAAAGGTAAAGAGAAGCATTTCAGCGTCATTCCAAGAAAATTCCTTTTTACCTTCCATCTCCTTGTGGTTAAAGGATTTTTATGATATGTCTCAAAACGTGTCAAACAATTTTCTTTAGCGATATACGCACCGATTTGATACTTCTAGAGAGAAAATATTCTTTCCTTCTCAGCTTATTTCGATTGCAGTAACATGCTTCAAAGCATAACAAATATATCTCTTGTATTATTTACTTCGATAAATAAAAAAGAATTAGAATGATATACTTTAAAAATTTCTTACTGACGGTATTTAATTTGAAACCGTAAGAACAACACATTTAATTTAACAGTAGCAAACCGATAAAGCTTTTCTGAAGAAAATTATTTGACGAGTATTATCTGTCCTACAACGGAAATGATTCGTATTTGATTTACCGGGAAAATGTAACATTAATTCGCAATACTTTTCTTTTGCGAAAAACAAGCAGTTTATTTAATCGGATGTAATCTGATATGGAAAAGTGCAAAATTCATTTCCACGCATAGATTGCATATTCCACCCATTTTAAAAAGTTGCATTGATGTTATACAGTATGAAAGATGTTTATATTGTTTTGGCCACTTTAAGAAGTGTTTTTAATGAATAGTAAATGCAAAAGAAAATTTTTTGCACGTCTTGAAATAAAGAAAGAGCATTACAAAAAAAGGATGAAATGAAATATCGTTCTTTCTTACAGCGCTTCTGAAAGAACATTGGTTCTGCCTGGAGAGATATCTGGTTATATCTGAATATACTTAGTTATAGCTGAAAAGCGAGAGCTGTATCTTTTTTGTAAGATACTTAAGATGGCAATCAAATTTCAGTTTGAGCATTATTCGTACCCTTCCGCCATGGATAGCAGATTTGTTGTTGCTTCTAAAAATATCTCAGAACATCAAAGTTGGTCAGACGAAATTATTCTACGAAATTACGAAGATTGCTATAGGATTTCTACTAGATTGCTAAAACATGCTACATATACGAGAAATTCCAGTGCAATAAAATAAATAGAAACAGATGAAATAAGATATAAAATATGTAATAGTGTAATAGGATGAAAAAAGATTCCAGTGTAATAAAATAAAACTCTCATAAATTTTACATATTATAATAACAAACAAACAATATTTTAGGTAAATTTTATAAAATTAATAAAGAAAAGATAAATTATCTTTAATTTACTTAATTTTTAGATTTTTAAGTATAATGTAATAATACTTAAAGAATAAACTTCTGTTTTTATAACGTAAACTTTTCTACCAACTTTCCTGTTAATCTAAAGACTTGGTACAAGTGATTTGTAACCCGCTTCATATAAAATAAAAAGAAAAGTTAGTGAAAGGAAACACTTTTAATATAAAATCACTTACAGTGTTAAAATAGGATACATTCTCAATGTTTCAGACACAACGTAGTCTAAGTATTTCAAGTCTCTTACCACATCGTGATCCACCTGGCCCTGTAATGAATTCAAAAACATAAATATAAATATATGTGTAACCTAAACTTTTATAATTAAACATTTAAAAGTAGCATATTTTGATTCATTCAATAAAAAAGTAAGTTTCTTCAATTTGTTGAAAAAATTTAATTATTCTATCAATCTAATATTTTAAGCTAAAGTTGCATTTATAATAATATAATGTCCCATTCAAACGCGTTTGAATCCCGAAATCTCTCTATAATTATCCATTAAAGTGCAGATTAACTAACTATATATATATCTTCTGATAATAATCTATATAAAAATATATCGCTTCTGTATAAAAATTTCTTCTGAATCGGTTTTAAATCAATTTTACAATCCGTTTGGGAACAAAAGATTTCTTTATTGTGACCGTACATGCAGATGTCATGCAAAATAATCGTTTAAATGAATTCCAGAGCAGTCAAAATAGGTATTACGATGAAATATGATACCCAAAATTTTTCGTAATTACAATACTTCCTGTACTTCGTACAAGGAAGTAAAAAAAAACAGAAACAATGCTTTCAGAAATGCAGTATTGTACTAGCAAATACAACTACACAGAAAAATATTGCATTAAAAATTCGGGAATAATGAGGTATCATGTCCTTTATGAATATTTTATCATGCAGTTTGCTAAACTTCATGAAATGACAAAAACGGTTTTCTTAATATAAGATAATGAGAAATAAAAAAAAAAAAAACTGAGCTATGGGATATTGCAGCTATTTCATTTCGGATCCATTTTAAATATCACTTTTTTCTGTACATAACAATATGCAAGCCAAAGAACTAAAATATAATTTAGTTTTAAACATGATATTTATGTGTACTATATTAAAAATAAGTCTATATTACCTCTTGCTCGTATCCGATTATATAGGTGAAAAGAGTTTCTTTTATCAGCCTATCCTATTATTCGTTATGTTGTTTAGTACCTAGAATGACGGATAATCGAACAGACAATCTCTATTTATGAAAAGACATGCAGCTACCACGTAAATTTGTAGCATAGCTGCTAAGCTTGAAATATGAAAACTAGAAAGGTTCTTAAGCAAAAACCAGAAGTTCCCAGGAGGTCTTTCGCGCATTATTCCGGCAGTTAAACTACAGATACGATAATAAAAATAATAATAATAACGCAATAAGGTGACAGTTTTGCAATTTATTTAGCATCCCTTTCGAATTTTGATCGCAAAACAATGCAGTACCTACGAACTGATATAATTGTTACTCCACGAAACTGGTAGTGGAGGGTTTTCTGTAAGCTACTCAATGTTCCATTAACCAAAAAATATAATTGCGCGCCATCGGAGATACGCTTTTGTCCGCAATGACAAAGACAACAATGCAGTATATAGATTATTAAAATTATAGTCTGGAAAACATTTAACTACCGCGAAAAACTTGCGCATTTTGATATAAGATTTGAGTGCTAGTTATCGGGAAAGGCGCTTTCGATTTTATAATTTTGTACTAAATGCCACGAACGAAAATATTAAGTCGTCCGAAAGTTCTGAGGTTTTTTAATCGAAACGCGTTTTCTTCTAATTATTTAGGAGGTGCTGCTTATCTAGACGATTAGTGTATGAGGCCAACACCTACTCGTGTCGAGTATATTCTAGGTGGCCTCTGTACATATACTACATGTGACATAATATGAAGTGACCTTGATCGACGCGTATGTTTAAATACGGTCTTTTTACACTTACATCGCATGTTTCTAGCATTGGTTGTAGCATCAGTGCAATGCCAAGAATGGACAAGCCAAAAATTCATTTTCTTGATATTGTGCTCTTTAAAAGACATGCTAGTAAATCGGCTCAGAAAATATGTGCTATATACGAACAGAGTGTTCTTTTTCTGATGACACAGTTCAAAGCTTCGTTTGAGAAGTTTAAGCTTGGAAATCTTAGCCTCTAAGTCATAGCCATGCTCTATAAGCAAAGACCTGTTAAAAGAAGCTATGGCTTTAAATTCAATTTAGGAACTATCAGACAAACCAAATAGTCCAAAACGTACATTACATGATCATTTGTAAAAGAATGGTATGTAAGCTGCTACGATGTATATGTACTCCATGATTTAATACAATGGAATAATGCGCTCGTTCCAATTTGCAACATATGATTCCTTAATGAAAAGAAGTAAAGAATGTTCTTTTTTGAAACGGCTGATTACTGTATATGAGAAGTGGATACTGTACAATAATGTTTTAAGAAAAGGATCATGGGATAAGCCCGAAGAACCTCTAGCTAGTAACTTCGAGAGTGCGACGGCATTACAAACACGTAATGTTTTGTATAGGGTGGAATTATACAAGAATTATATGCTATGAATTGTGCCCACTAAATCAGGCAATACTTTCGGGAAAATATTGTTCCCAAATAGCAATTTTAAAAGCAAAACTCGAAGAAAAGCATCCAGAACTGAGTCGTCCAGGTGTTGTTTTTCATCATGACAATAAACAAAAAGCTATTAACTGTGCCCCCTTCATATTCACTAGTTCTTGACCCCTCGGATTTTCATCTCTTCATGTCACTTCACAATTCTTTAAACGGCCTCAGGTTACCTCTTTGGAGTCTGTCAAACAGCATTTCGATGACTTATATTTACGAATAAGCCTAATGTTGTTTTTAGCAAAAGAATTTTCCAACTGCCGGAGAGATGCAAACCGTCAAACAATAAAATGGTATTTAAGGGATTCGTATTGTTTCATTTGTGTTTATCATCAAAAACTGCAGAACTCTCCGTATGACACAATGCATTTTTTCCCATATTATATTCTTTCGGCTATTACGTAGAAAAATAAATTATCGTTTCTAGATTATTCAAGATCTACATATCAAACAATCTAGTATGAATGAAATTCATTGATAATTGACTCTATATTGTTTGCAGAAGTCATCTCTAACTGTAATCTTGGTAAATTTTTACTATGATAATTTCTGATTGGAATCTGTCATCGTGATTTTCTGTGTAGTTCAGTACTTCATTTTCTTAATTTATCTGACTGAATATTTCTCATATATGTTAGCAATACGATGGCTTTCCTCTCACAGACTTTCGTCCATGATCATCTTTGGGAAAAACATTTAAGGTGAGAATGTACAGAGAGGAATTGCCACTACTTTCTCCAGATATCCCTTGCATGGTCTCTTCTTTCTAAATTATCTAATTGAATAGTTTCCATACAGCAATTAACAAGACTACAGACTGGGCACTCACAGAAGTATGATCCATATGATGGCTTTTTGTGATTTGAGTAAAATTCTTTTTAATGGATTGCAACCGTTAAAAATATTTAGAATAACATGTTAAGTAGTAACGATATCGGACCTAACCATTAATAATCATTTGCATACTTAAATTTTATTTTCAATTCTTGTCGCGCATGCCTTTTATATTCCAGCTTCAGCAGCTCTAAAATCTTTCAATAGAAAGTTAAATAGATGCGAGAAGACTGACAGAACATATTATCTGTAGAACATATTTCTAATTAATTTGGAATTAGAAATATAGAAAAACTAAATTTCTAAATTTTATAAATCTAGATTTTTTTAAATTAAAAAATTTAGAAAATCCAAATTTTAAACGCTAGCTGTTATTTATTATGACATGAATACGTTTGTTTAAAATCCATTTTTAATGTAGTGAGGTCCGCGACAATGTAAAATAACTTATGTTTCATAATAAAATATAAATTTCATTTTATAAAAGTATATTTACTAAATTCATTTCATAGTATTAGACGTTTACGGTTTGAGGAAAGAAATATTAAACTGTACTGATGTTTGGTTGTACATCCTTTAGCTTTCAGGGCAAAAAGAAGTTACTAATGCATCACATTCGTTTGACAAATATTTCAATGTAATTACACCAAAAATCATATTGCACGAAAACGGAAGAAAATTACCACTAAAAACTGCAGTTAATAACTGAAGCAATAAAATCATTTTAAAGCATTTTTTTGTTGCAATCATGTGACCTTTATATTTTATTGAAAATAAAACTTTGCTTGTGGTTTGATTTTAGAACGTCAATGCACTGCATTAGTGTATACATTGCTTACATCGCCTATTTCGTCAGCTGTCTGTAATTTCTTCTTTATCCTAGTTTTCTAATTCAATAGACTTTAAATTTTCTTCTACGATAACTTGATTCATAAAAAAATCAGTTAAAAACAAAAGCATGATAATTTCTGACTATAAAGTAAAAGTTCAAGAGGGAAATTGCTTTTTAGTTAAATACCGTTAAAAAGTCAACAAAATCATATTAAAAATATTGATATGTAGAACACCAAAATTCAAAGGATCAAATGACAGGTTTAAATGAGGTTTTTATAGTAATCACACTGCATCTGACTATTTAGTGGGAAATTATTCAAGGAAGTTATTCTAGTGACCTTTTGCGACCGGCTGCGTATCATTGAATAAGCTAGAAAATACACGAATTGGAATAAAAATATATGGATAAAGATAATTTTTTAAGAATAAAATTGAATAAAATATAGCCACACTCCTTTTATTTCGCATGCCATAGCAAGACAATAAGAGGATAAAATTATGCACAATCTAGAAAATTTTTGCAGTAAAATGTATCGAAAATAGTGTAATCACCCTCCTTAAAGCAAAATAATTACCATATTGGAATTTGTCAAATATTCTAGTTTTATTTCATGTTTGTTGTTACTCGTCTTCTTGTTATTTTCTTATTATATGTGGTACAAAAATACAGTTTTGCAATAAAATTACGACAATGCAGAAAACTTTGGGCTGCAAAATGTATCGAAAACAGCGCAACAAAATATTACCATTTCCTTAAAATAAAGTAGTTACAACAATTTCATTTCAGTTTTCAACCCCTCTGTTGTAACTCACCGCAGTTTTTGGATATTATGCTGATGTTCCTTAGAATCACATGCAAACGACGTGAATCGTTTGCTTCGACAACCATCGCTACTGCAACAAGCATTGCACTGCCCCTAACTTGTGGCTTCCAGCCATGCACCACCGATGACCAGTGGCCCTAACATTCATTGGTGATTATGCGCTTGGTGATCACCAGCTCACTACAGTATAATTTAATACAGTATAATCTATCTACATTTACTACATTACCCAACTGCATTTGGTGGTGACCTATGAGTCTACCAACAGTATCTGCAGGTCATTGGTTACCAATTGCTTTGACGAGCACTTTTGTCCTTGGATTTATTTTTAATTTCAAAATATATCTTTCACCACTTTACACCGATGAAATATCTGTTAGTCTGTTACGATAATCAGCATATATGTCACCAAAGACCAACATCATTTACAGGCACAACTGGTTTCATTTCAGCTATAATTTGAAAATCTCTTTAAATTTACGGCGCACCCTTCCCCACATAGAGCAGTCAACTACTCTCCGTCAGCGGCAGTCACCTTGTCGCTGACCAGTGACCAACAGCTTTAATGGGCGTTGGTGATCTTCGGTTTAATTTAAATTTTAAAATCTATGTATTAAAATTTTCTGCACCGCTCCATGTGGAGATCAGTTTATTTATAGAGTCATCAAGTTTATTTTGGAGCAGGAAACCGGAAAAATCAGCAATGTCCTCGTCAGGATTAGAACCCCGGACCTCCCAATTATCAGCCGAACCGGATTATTACCCACAAAAGCATACAATAAGAAGAGTGAAAATTTCTTATACACTTCTTCGATAAAAGGGCAACTGGGGTGGTGGGAGTCACTCGTCAAATCCTCCTAGCGACAATTTACGTCCGTATTTTAGTTCGGGCGCTACTTGTCATCAGGCTTATTTAGAACAGAAAACATAAAAATTGTACAATGTCCTAGCCTAGATTCAAATCCCGGACATCCCGATTTCTAACCAGATTTGCTTTCAATTACACCACGAAGAGTCGAGATAAGAAGGGAGAAAATTCCTTGCAAGCATCGCACACGAAGAACACCCGAAATTGTCATCAAGTAGATTACCAGGAACCAATAGCTTGACAAGTACCAGTAATGCTACAACTTAATTTTAATTTCATAATATATCCAAATTTACTGAACAACTGCAGATTTATGATCCCTGAGATAACCGACTGTCAGTTTGAACGTCAACGATGCCCAAAAGTCTATATTTTGATGGTCACTCATTATCACTTATCGGTCACGTTTCTAGAGCGATGCAATACATTTAGATAGATTTTTGTATTAAAATTATACCTAAGCATATTGATTTGCATCTAGGTACCAGTGATCGGTTAACATTGACCTACAAGCTTATGGTTACTTACAGTGAACTCACAGATCACCGGTATAGAACAGTAAAATATATCTAGATAAATTTGGAATTAAAATAAATTGAAGCATATTGTATTCGGCAAATTTAGTGATCAATGCATATGTCATTGTGGCTGGCAGCTAAAGAATTACCTTTGATGCCCTACATCTGGTGAGACTCATCAGATGTAGGGCAGTGAAGTAAATTCGATTATTAAAATTAAGCTTAACCAAAGAATACCAATGACTATCAAGACTATTAGTCACTGATGACCTGAAAAGCTTGTCGCATTTGCAACACTTGGTAAAGCAAGTGGCTGATAAGTTCATGGTAATGCAGTTTGACGTAAGGTAAATCTCTAAAAATGTTAATAAACACACTTAAAAGGATGTTTCTAACATCATTAACATCGTAGTATTAAGATCATTAAATATCTATTCGTTTCAAGTGACTCTGTTCACTTCTGAGAAATATATTCCGCTTATTTCATTTTATTCTTTTAATCTTGTCTAATCTTTTCGGCGCATCGAAATCATCTGAAGAGATTTTCCATTATGTATTTAGTGTAAAGGATAAAAATGTAGCTTTTAAAATTTTTACCATTTAAATTAACGAATATACCTTCATCGCCAAGAACATAAGTCTCATGAAAATTCTTAAATGCAGATAAAGATAATCTCTAAATTTTGCCAGTTTCTGTTGGCCAGATCTAGAACAAGTAGACCAAATACAAAGTGTTGATAAATTTTTACTTATTTCGGGTTTTAGTCTGATCGGGCACCTAATTTGCAAAGAGGCGACAATACATGCTTTGGACGAAACATGTATATCTGATGATAAGGAATTCTCATTTAAAGGTTCGTGTTCCCTTGAACTATAAAACTGTAATGCATAAAATAAAAAATCTGAAAGCTTTAAGATTTTATGTAACACCCGCAGGGGGCGTTTTTCGTTTTTTTTTTTTTTTTTTTTTTTTTTTTTTTTTAAATTTATTTACACACACATACACGTTTCGACAGCATTTGGGTTAAAAATATTTAAAAACAACATATCTTTATAATTTATGTTAGACCCACTCACATGCTGAGGATAAAAATGTTTTATTTCGTACAGTGTTCCGCTGTTTGTTTTGAGCTCATTGAGTATTTTATTCAAAAACCCGTTAAACTTTCACAAAATAAGAAATAGATAATAAAAGCGATTTGAAATTTAAAATTCGGACTTCCAATATTCGGGTGGAGGACTACGTTATTCAAACTTTGATGGCTGTACATACCGTTGTTTTTTGTTGAATGTATATATGAACCGTTGCTAAATGTATATATGCGAGAAACATATATAAATTCATGGAGATTCATCGCTATTTAATTTCCTTAAATGTAATACAGGTTCGATTTAATGTAATGCATACACAGATAGAAAGAAAGAAATAATTTAAATAGCATTTTTAGCTGAAAGAGCGTTAGACCAGAAGTGGCTGTGAATTTCGTTTGGACATTTTGCGTCGAAAATTTTAAATGTCCGTTTTGCTTTTCAAATTAGTTGCCACCAAATATTATCGTCCTGGTGTATTATATTTAAAGAAGTTAAATAATGAAGAATCGGCATAAATGTATATGTGTTTCTCGCATTGTAATAAAACAACAATACTTAGAGCCATCGAATTTTAAATAACGTAATCCTCCACCGAAAATGGGCATCTGGAAGCCCGAATTTGGGAATTGTTTTATTATCGATTTCATATTTTGTAACACTTTAACGAATTTATTATTAACAAACTCAATAATTCCAATGCGAGAAATGGAAAAACTGTATGAAAAAACAAAACATTTTTATCTCCAGCGCACGAGACTGTGCATCGAAAATTCCAAATATATGTTAATTTTAAAATTATTTTGCGATATTGCCGCTGAATTGAATTTTATGGTTTAAGTGCGAGGACATGATATGTAATAAATAAAGGTAACACACAAAATGTTTTAACAAAATGCCCTTTGGCTGTAATGTAAAATCTGAAAGCTTTCAGATTTTTTTACTATATCTATTTTAGAAATAGATAATTTAAATAGCACTTTATTCGTTCGATTTAAAGCAAGGAATACACAGAGATAATGGATAATTTAATACTTATATGCACCCACTCATCAAATAATTCATATCCCTAAAATACTTTCAGAAATTTATATGAAAAGGCAAATTCCCTTTTATTAAATTCTGGATTCTTCTGGCTTTTATTAACTTTAGGAGGACATATAAAAGCTTTGAAAAAGAAAAGAACCAAGAATTAATTTTTACTCACATGTTTCTGAAAGGCATCATCTATTTCTTGAATGAGCTTTTCTTGACACTCTGGGTTTAAAGCAAGAGAGTAGGCAATGTAAGAAAGGGTTGAAGCAGCAGTTTCGTAGCCGACAAAGAAAAACATCACACACTGAGCTATGAGTTCGTCTTGAGATAGCTCTGAAATGATATATCAGGTAATTCCTTTTGTGCTATCACGTACAAAATGTAGCACCTCAAAAGAAAATGAAACAGTGACTCTGCTATTAAAAACAAGGGATTAAGATCGTTCATAACAGTATCGTTAATTTGCTTAATATTTCGCTTTTGTTTTCAAATACCGCTATGTTATGCCATTTCGTAATATACTAACTTAAACACTAACTACCGTATATTCCTGCATATAACGCACACCTGTGATTTTAAACTACATTTTTAAACTTTTAGTTTGTAGGGATTTATATTTATTTTAAATAAGCAATTTTATTTTATCTTAAGCTTTCCTATAAGCCTTCATTTCCCTAATTGCCAATACCGGAATATTTAAATTTGATAACGCGTGTGAAGGAATGCGAATTCTACTTAGAGGAGAAAAAAATTTAAATACCGGTTTCCAGAAGGAAAGTTTAGAGAGTTAGGCTATTGCCGTCACCTCTGTTGCGTGAGCTTCTACTCCCGGAGTTATTGCTGGTTTACGTAGCATAACTGCATTTACTTTGCTACCACTAGTTTTGACGTGGGATTAAGAAACAGGAGTATCTGAGCCCTGTAGCTTAATTTCTACTACTTGTGAACATTTTCGAATTTTTAGTTTTGTTTTGTGATCTCGGTTACCGCCCAAGGGAGACGTAGTGTGTTAGCGTCGAGTTGACGCATTGTAAATTTTAAAGAGGCACTTTTAACCCTTCTTTTGCGTAGTTCCTATAAGTACAATTGTCACTTACAGAATAAGCAACTGGACAAGTTATATTCGCGTACAAAGCGCACGGTTTTCTTTAAGAAGAAATCCGAAAGATAAATTTGCGATGTTCATATCTTTTAAAGTTATTCATTTCGAAGATTTTCCCTAGACTTTGGAACAAAGGTATGTTGAATTGACAAGCGATAAGCGAAACAATATGAGTGTGCGGGAAATGCTTAAAGAAGTAAATAATTCTGAAAAGGTGGTGGGTATTATTCAATGCAGTTGTGCGCACAAATGTTATTCCAGGCCTCCGAGAAAAGGGAGACATAATTTGGAGTGGGGTAAGAATGTACTTCCGACCCGAATGAATTCGCGGAATCAGGAATCAGATGTTTTCTCTGAATGAATGAAATCACAATAATTAATCTATTTTACGGAAGGAAATTATCCGATAATGAAAATTTTTAAATTCATAAGTTGCGTCATTTCATAAACAGCAATTAGGTACATGTAGAAATCTAATTTCTTAATGCTCTTATTTCCATTCTTTTTAAATGCATCATTATCATGTTCGGGTATATCGCGTACGCGCAAATTTCGATCTTATTTTTTTGTATTAAAACTGCGCGATATACGCCACAATATGAGAGGCGTAGCTAGAATTTTCAGCGCGCGGGGAAAACTAAGGATTTTGCGTTCCGAAAATGGAAATCATTTCATTGTAAAATTTGTAGCATCAACTTGGCGCCCCTTGGATGTTACGCCGGGGAACAGATGTAACCACCTTGCCTCACCTTAGGTACTCCACTGCCCAACAAATGGGAAATAAAAACTTAAACCTGCAATCTGAAAACTTCAACTAACCGTCTAACACTTCAAAATAGATTTCACAAAGAAAAACATTTTAAAACAAGTAAAATTAAAATAACTAGCATAACTAGCAGTGATATGATATTGATTATGCCTATTTTAATTCATACCTTAGGCATTTCACCTTTAGGAAATTAATAATTATGTAAGTATATGACACTAAAAACGTATAACTCGACATCTTAAAAAAGTCTACTTTTTCAAAAATCACTAACTTGTATACTTCTGAGATGTAGATATTCCTTTGCTCGTTACACTTCCGAACTGGTCTATTTCGTCGTCATTCTTTTCAACTGATTTGAATCCTGCATTTTCAGATTCCTCGGGTTCTTGAGTGACTTCATCAGCAGCATCCATCAATAGTTGCAAGAAATCATTGTGCCTCTGCATATATCCAGATTTACTTATTTTAATTTTTACGAGATTATGTTTAAGACATAAGTTCTCAATATTCAAATAATATAAAGGAATAAAAGCACTGCTATGCGCAGTTAGTAGAAATCTCTTTAACAACTACAGTATATGAACAGGAACAAATTTACATTTTAATTAAATACACTGCTCGACTTTGAAAATGCAACACCAAGAAGGAGTGGTCAGAAAGTGATGAAATTTGGAAAAACGACTAAGACAGCAAGCAGCAATAAGTGATCTTTATTTCAAAATGATTAGTCAGAATACAGAGCGAGAAAGGTGTTGGCTCAGTAGGATGTAGGACCACCGCGGACAGCGATGCACGAAGAAACACGTCTAGGCATAGAATCAATAAGAGTGCGGATGGTGTCCTGAGGTATGGTTCTCCATTCCCTTTCAACCATTTGCCACAGTTCGTCTTCTGAACAAGGCAGGGGCAGCGTCTGCAAACGGTGTCCAATCACATCCCACACATGTTCGATTGGTGACAGGTCAGGAGAGTATCTGTATACCTTGCAGGCCAGGGAAGCATCTGGTATACCCTGCAGAGCATGCTGGTAGATGCGAACACTGTGTGGTCGAGTGTTATCCTGCTCAAAAATTGCATTAGGCAGCCCCTGAAGGTAAGGGATTGCCACCAGGACGCAGTACATTATCCAAGTATCGTTGGGCCGTCATAGTGCTCTGAATACGAACTAGAGGTGACCTGGAATCGTAGGCAATAGCGCCCAATACCATTATGCCACGTTCTCGTGCGGTGGGGCGTTCCACAATTGCTGCCGGATTAGATCTGTCTCCACGTCGACGATAACATACGTATGCAGCGACTGTCACTGGATAAACAGAAGCGTGACTCATCTGAGAACACGACGTTTCGCCATTCTGTCATCCACATCGCTCCAGTCCGGCACCATTCTAAACGTTAGCGTCTATGCTGTGGGTCAATGGCAGTCTTCTCAACGGACACCGTGAGTGCAGGCCACGTTCAACCAATCGACGGGAAATCGTTCTGGTCGACATGGAAACATCCAGGGTATCTTGCACATGCTGCAGAATCGCGGTACAAGTGACTTGCGGAATCGCCGCAGCTTGTCGGCGGATGCGTCGATCCACGCGTGCTGACGTCACTCTGGCTGCACCCACACCCCTCCTTCTTCCCACATTTCCTTGTTCTAACCATGTTCGCCATAGTCGATGCACCGTTCTTGCATCCATGTGGGTATCAGCTGCGATTTAACGTAAGGACCAACCCGCCCTTTTCAGTCCGATCACCATACCCTTCGTAAAATCGTCTATCTGCTGGAAGTCTCCTCGTTGACGGCGGCCTGGCATTCTCTCCTGTTAAATGTATTCTCCAGGACGAAAACCAACTTTCTTTGATAATTCGTCTGGCAGAAATAACGACACGAATATTGCCCATTCTGCACGTTCTTTCCCTTGTATCTTACTTCACGTGCGTCGGAGAGCTGCGCATTTCACATCATTCGCATAACTCAGTGACGTGCGTCTACTCTAAAATTTGCATAAATTTCTGATCACTCCTTCTTGGTGTTGCATTTTTAATGTTGAGCAGTGTAAATCTTAATTCAAGCAAATTAAAAGCTACAAATAGCATACGCAGGGGGAGTAACAGATATCAAACAACTTTCTAAAACGCAATGAATATTGCAGATCAGCAAAATCACTTCCAAAGTAGTAAAGTTTAAAGATCAGTTGCAAAAGCATGATTTGAAAACTGAATCATTACACTAACTGATTGACGATTTCCAGTGCAGATCACAGCACTTATAGGCTTTTTTTTTTTTTTTACTTATTACGTGGTCCGCCCTTAGGCACTTCTAGGAAAGGGAGAGATGCAACGTGGAGGTCTTTTTAAGGGAAACTGGCTCGTATCCACGGTACACATGGGGATAAAATCACGAAAACGCCCATGCAGCAAACCCGTTCACCAAGATTCGAATCCCGGACCCGAACTACCAGTGTTCAGTGACTTTTACCGCACGACCGCTGGTGGGTCTACTTATAGGCTTGCCAACACATCTGAAAGCTTTGACAATCATTTTTGTTAGAGCTTTCAAATTCGTTTTGCGAAAACTTTCAGAATATCTATAAGTTGGCTAAAAATCGCCAAATACCGTCGACTTTGCGACAAAAATCTGTTCCCAACCAAGGAACTTTTTTCTGAGCCAAGCTGTCGTTAGTAGTGTTTCTCAGTTTATAATTGAACTAACTTCACAATTCAAATATTGGTCAATCCAGAAATACAATATAATATACGAAATGAACACTAAATACGACAAGTGGACGCTAATTAGTATTAACATAAATAAACTGATTTAATAAAAAAAAATGCTTCTACGAAAACTTCGAAATATCGCCAGTGTCCATCAGAGTTTTGTCCCCTTATATCTTAAGTTCTTTTCAATACTGAAACATCAATCTATTCAGAATTATAAGTTCTGTTGTATTTCCTGAATTCTCCCGCAGAGGGACATAGCTATTATTAACTAAAAGATATAGTTACTTTAACTTTCTTTATAGTAAAAGATTTAAGTGTTAAGGTTTAAATCTACATTTCACTTTTTACTTACGTAGTTAAATAGTAATCTTGGTAGCTATGTAGAAAATATCTGCTCAGCTCCAAACGGTTCTTTACAATAAGAAATTACGGACTACAAAAGGGTAGCACATAGAACCAAAAATCCTGAAGTGAGCGTCGAATGAAATACTATGACTTCAAAGAGTCTACTTACATGGCCTTTCTGCCTTCTTTCTTTAATCACTTGCAAAGTTACATTTCGGAAGAATTCCGCTGACGGTACAATTTTGAATCCTAAGTTTTTTCTCAACCAATTCGGAAAGAACAACACTAGAATAAATTGACATTTGTTTTATTTACTTGCTAATATAAAAATACCATAAATAAGTTTAAAACACAGTTATTGTAGCTACAGCGGAGGAATACTTCAAAAAAATTTAAATTATAAAAATAAATAAGTATAAATTCAAATGACAAAAATTACCTAAAATTTACATACTGAGAAATTTACCGAGAAAAATAACACACAGGGTTATTCTATTTACCGTACATGAATTACGTACGTTTCGAAAAAAAAATGACTAATTTTGCATAATTTGTTAATTTAACTAGATTACTGATTAATATTTTTTTTCTTTTCTCGCTTTGAATGTTAAGTTCTTTTTTTTTCCTATGTACATTTATATATGCATTTATTTTTCTATATACTATAAGTTATTTTAAAATTGCTATAAGAAATATCGTACTAGGATTAAAAATAACTATATTAAAGTTTATTAAAAAAATCTACTGTGTATACCATATGACTTTCTTGTACAACCTATTAAATTACACACATTTTTTGTTGCACTTAAACTTTTGCTCATTTAAAATTTTTTCCCTCGAATCTCATTAGAGATATATTTCTCATTCAATCAATGAAGTTCTCACTTGGCGGGAAGACAAAAATACATAAAAACTCAAAATCGCTTCATTAAAAATCGTAAAATACAGAAAATGCTAAAACACCAATACAGTTAAAAACTATTTTTGCATATAAATTAGAATTTATACGCCAAAACAAGAAATTCGGCGAACGGTGAGAAAAACAAAAATTTCGGTGCACAACAATAAGTTCGCTTTTGGTCCCATTGAGCAAAAAAGACACTGAAATTGGTGCATCAACTTATATTTAATACTAGTACAACTGAATACCAACACAACAACTAATATTTTATTCCCTGTATTACAAAGAGTTGCAAATGTAAACAAATAGCCGACACGTTAGACCTAGCGAAACATACACTTTTAAACTGTTGATAATTCTATAAATATCACATGCAGGTTATCTGAAAATATAAGAACCTTAACCGGAACATAAGAGCAACATAATTCAGTCACTTTTAAAGCAAAAATGCACAACTTACCAATATATAAGAATTAAAAACCCAATTCTCACCAAGCCGAGATAAAAGGTGAGTGATGTGAGTGATACATGTCGAATATAATGTCGAATACTTACAAGAAGAAATCAGTCAAAATTATCTTTGAGAATAAAAATATCTGTATTCAAAATTTCTATATCTTAAAGAAAGTTGTTATTAACTACATTTTTTAATTTCTCATCTAAAGTGATATGATAATTATTACTTAATCGGAGGTAATAGTTGGGTGACTGCGATAAGAAATTTGATGTAAATATGTACAAAGATCTTGTTTCTTTTCACTTTTAATTATTATTTGTACTATATTTTGTAAATTTAATAACTGGTCAATCCTGCTTTTACTAAAAAAAAATGGGTCTTCTAGTTTCAAAGACGTATTGTACCCCGACCTTTTATCCTTTTATAACCTACATTTTTTCTTTTCCTCAATTTTGAGCCAGTTCTGTTTTCACGTTTTAAGATTTTACAGAAGACAGCATCTTTTAGAAGTTTCTTACACTGCCATTTTGGAGTTGATGATCACCTTTCTCGTTCGTAATAATTTTTACAAACCGCACCCAATGTTTGGTACCTCCACACACAAAGTTTAACAGGATAGGACATTTTGAACAAATGTGAAAATGCTTAATTCTGCTATTGGACACTGAATGTTATCGCATACTTTTTCCAAGAACTACAAAGTTTTTGCTTCTCCAGAGCAGCTTTCAATTCTAATTTCTTTTTCAAGGAAAACAGTTTGGTCGTCTTAAGATTTCAGTTAGTTTACGTTAAGAAGGTGATCTTAAAAATTCAGCAAGTTTGCGTGACTTCTTTTTTTTTTTTTTTTTTTTTTTTTCCCGATTTTTGTTTCAGTTTTTAGGTGTTTAAAGCTTAGATTAGATTTTATTATTTACAGAAATTTCCATGAAAAGTCTTTTCTTTTCTTGGTATTAAAAGTTTAGTTTAATATAATCGGGGACCACCCAATTTTCGAGTGTTGTTTAAATGACAATTTGGTTTAATGTATATATGATTCGCTCTTTATTTGTAATTGCTTTTGAATTTCGGATTTGCATATAGTGGGTTTACACCAGTTTATTTATTTATTTTATTTTTTTTTTTTTTTTTTTTGAATGGTCAATTTGCATAATGTAAAGTTTTATGGGTTTTTTTAGTAGTCAATTTCACACGATTTTATGCTTTATTCTTTTTTCCAACTGTTTCGAAAGCGAGTAGGGAAATTTCTGGTACATTTGAGATTCAATTTTTTGGTTTTATATAAATTTTAATGTCTTAAATGAAATTTTAATTAAATCTTTTCTCGGTTTTTGATATCAAATGAACCAGGAGAACGAAACATATTAATCGACTTTTATGAAGCTTTAGTTCATTATCCCCTGATGAGTTCTGAATTGGAGTGTCAGTAAAAGGAGATTAATTTTATATTTTTATAATTTTGTATATCTTTTTCCTTTCGTATTTTTATTTTTCATGTTAGTTCTTTTATGAATTCTTATTTTAATTTTAGTTTGTTTAGACATTGGGTTAAACCTCTTATACAAGGTTGCAGTTATTAATATTGTTGAGGAATAGCCTTGCTTTCATTCCAATTTAATATTAACTTTACATGCTTTAAGTATATTATAACCTACATTTTTCCTTTTCCTCAATTTTGAGCCAATTCAGTTTTAAGATTTTACAGAAGACAGCATCTTTTAGAAGTTTCTTTAAGATGCTTAACTTTACATGCTTTAAGTTCATATATGTATATACGTCCAGGCGGCCGATTTTAACAAGAAATGGAGTTGCATAACTAGATGTTATATCATATCAGTCCCATATCCAAAATTTCAATGATCTACTGCTAATCTTTTTTAAGTTATGCGAGATACATACATGTATACGTAAGTACGTATGTATGAAGGTCCATATGAACTAATTTTTTCGTGATGTCTGTACGTATAGTGGTGCACATTTACCTACGTACTACCTGAAATGTACTTAGGTAAATGCGTATGCGTGAAAATATATCTAATCACGGCCCATGGTTTGTGGTTTTAATCCTTTGACATACAATTCCGTCTGGGATGCGTTGTTTATTTTTAATATAAAAACAGATTTGATGCGTTCCAGATGTCAGGAAATTGTTGTTAGATTCATATAAAATTTCCTTTTCGTTGTCTGTTTATTTTCCTTCTTGTATTACCAGTATCCAACAAATTAGCAAGTTGCAGCTGTCTTCTGAAAAAGATGAAAAATGTATACGCAAAGAAACTCTGTTATTTTAAGTTTTTAATCGTTTTCTGTTTCTTTGAATCAATTTTTAAACATTTTTGGGAAGCCTAATATTTAACTATAACTAAAAATATTGCCGTCTTCTAAACGTCTTAGTATCGCTTCCTCAGCTAGCTGCAATTTTTGCAGAATTTCACGGCAACATTCAAAATGAAATGATTGTAGTTTAAATATTACGTTTCGTTTGATATATGGTGACCATGTTTTCTCAATGTAATGACACTTCTTTTCAACAGATACTTACAAATGATTAACATCCGTAAAGCAAAAAATTCTTCAAAAATTTTTCTTGCATGCTTCACGAAGATGTTATTAGGATCGTTGTGGCAATCTATCTTTGTCGCAAAAGCAGAACAAGCGATTACATCCATGGTGAAAGTACCAAATAACCTGTAATAAATACAAATAAAAAATAAAATATGTAAAAAATAGCATTTTAATTTTAAAATTTTAATTAAATATTCAGAAAGTAAAAAATAATTTTTAGCTAACATAACATTTTTAAACATAAATGACTAAAAATACAATCGTGAGGCTGTTAACAATGGTGCATTTTACAGCAAACGGCCAAAGAGAAATTTGAGTGAATTGAATATAATCATTTTAATATATGTCACTTCTATACTATTATTTAAATTTGTACCTTGAAATTCTTTGTTAGTGTCATAATGTAATTATTTTTAGTAAAACTTGATTAACAATATTATAAAATTTAAAAATATATATTTTTTTAATTTTACAGCATTTAATTCTTATTGTGCTATTTAAAAAGGTTTCTACATACTTTATTTTGCATGTCTTAGTGAGGGTGATAGGAAAACAAATCATTAAGAAAAAAATACTCTCTCTCTGAACATAGAAAAATTATTCTTTCCAACCAACGTGATGAATTATATGTGACGTCGTCTTCCTTTTTTATCCTGAGGTCTTCTGATCTGTCCAGTGGCATTGATTTACACTCAATCCATTTATAAATTTCCGTTAGGTATAGAAATATGATCTTATTGCTTTAAAAATCACGGAGCTTCTGTTAGCAACTAAACGATAGCTAAAAAACCGAGCAACTTTTGAAAAGGTACCAGAACAAAGTAAGTGAACTTTGAAATTCCGAAGACATTTCACCTGAAATATTATTTTTTAAACTATCTTATAATTTAAATATCAAAATACTGCGATAACAAATTTGTATATTGTGCAGGGATACCTGAGAAAAATTCAGCATTGAAAAAAGTCTGTTTCGAATTTTAAGAAAACGTGCTGTGGAATATTGTACGGTTATTGCAAAAGAAACCGTAACAAAACCAGATCGGTGGAAGAAGGGTCAAAAATAGTTCTTAGATTTGACTGAAAAAATTTTAATAATATCGATTAAATAAGCATATATTTGTTTATCGTCACATGCTGTTAAAAATTAGAGTTAATAATTCGATTCTTTAACAAATTAATTTGTCTGTTGCTTAATTATACTTATTAAAATCAATTGTATCTTGCAAGCAAAAGGTTAATTCAAATGTTGTTTCAGAATGTTATATGAAGGTTAAAATTTTAGAATGCGAAGAGTTAAATCTTTCAAAACATTGATCAGAATGCTGAAATATTCTGACGAAAATCGAAACGTAACGGCCACACTCAGTACTTTGAAAAACTAAAAAATGGTTTTATAAGTTTGGTTTGGTTAGGGAGCAGAAACTAGTTTCAAATCTAACATATGCTATGTAAATTATCGCTCTGTATGAAGTAACTACAGACTAGAAAAGACTCCAGACTACCTTTTCTACATTCTAGAAAAGGTTTCAAAATAAACCTTTTTCATTTAATCACAAACTCTGAATATAAATACACTTCTTGTATTAACAGAATCAACCACAACTTGCGGGAATGTAACTAAAGTAACAGTCAAATATAATTAAAACCTAGGTCAGTAGTCGAAGACTACACAATTAAATTTTAAACTAAGCTGGCTCAAAACATCTAATCGACGTATCAAATTCAATGTCAGCAGCAAACGCAAAACCAAATTGTTTCCAAACTTATCAGATCTGACAGAAATTATGTAACGTGGCCACGAGGAGCAGAAATACGCTCTGCCTTACAATCTAAAAACTTCAATTTAAATACCCTCTATCTCATTTACATTCTGGTGGGGATAAGAAAAGAGTAGTTATAGAAAAGAACTAAATCATAATAACTGGTTGACTTCAAATAACAATCCTACAAATTTAGTTAAAAATATGAATAATTGATAACTATTAGTAACGTACTTTTTGCAGTTAACTGGTTCCTTGTTTTCGGCGTGCTTTTCCAAAGTTTGCACCAATGTTTTAGCGCAATCATTTATAATGTGGGCCATCTATAAAATGTAAATACACAAATAAATTTTTTACATGCAAATAAATTCACCTTTCAGTAATATTAAATATCATATTTTTCCCCATATGCAGAATGATGGTATTGCCTAATGAAGGTTTCGGCCTAGTTAATTTTTAAACTGTTAATTTTTATAACCAGTTAATTGTGGCGTTCTCGTTTAAGAGTGCGCACCGTTTGTGTCGCCAGAATCGAGCCATGACGAGTATATTCGTCAATCACAGAGTAAGTTGCGCTGGTAAGATACTGGATGAAAAAGATGGGTTCATTTTATAAAATTGAAAATTTTATTACTAATATTTACTTATTTGATTAACATAAGCATATATTACATACATATTAAACTAAAAACGCAATAAATTAAATTAAATATTATACATATAAAAGTAAGAATTTAAATTCCTGCTGTGGAGTGATATTCAGCGAAACAGGATACTATAACGCAATGGAACTTTGTAAATCGAACACCAGTAACGCGATCCCTTCCTGATCTTACGTTTGTAGCAATACGAACACCTTCACGTAGGGGTTTTTTTTTTTTTTTTTCCGATGTTCCGGGTAAATAATCCGGAACATGATTCCCGCGTAATTGGCTTATATTAGGTCTAAACGGCCAAGTTTGTGTCCATTTTTTTCTTTCAACTGGATACGTCGCAAAAGTGTCTTGCGATAATGTTCCATTATTTTTTTTATATAATATTAATGCATTCAGACACATAATGTCTAAGAAATGGAGAAATATCTTTTTGTAGTACTTTTTGAGTCGTTTTCTTGCTGTGGAGTACGCTGTCATAATTCCATAGCTCATATCCACTCCACCCATTTTTTTATTATAATCAATCACTAGCTTCAGTTTCTTTGTTATTATTTTTTTTGCCTGTTTCTATTACGTTATCATTATTTAGAGTACTTACTAAATAAACCTCCCTCTTATCTTTCCATTTCATTAACATAATATACGCATGACGAGTATACTCGTCAATACACATAATCATGTCGCTTCTCCATACCGAGTATACTCGCCAATCACAGTTAACTGGTGAAGCACTACAAATAATTTCATAAGTTTTGGAATCGGAGTCGAGCAGCAAAATATAAACCCTCCAGTTATCTAGATATCTCTTTCATTCTGATGTACGGGAAAAGTCGTATTGCTTACAACGGAAACAAATTTTAATAATTTTCTATGAAAATATTATATTTGCTAGCTTTTTTTATTAGATGCTAAATTTAATTTTTGTACGATATTTTCTTGACTCAAAGTGCAGTTTATTTTATTCCATCTAATACAGATTTGTGTCACACCTAATACCAGTTTTTAATGAATCTGATACATCATTCTGCTTCATTGCAAGAAAAAGGTTAATTTTACACATAATGCTTAGTTGTGTTCTTTGATTATTTACGCATGTTTACTAAAGAATGTTTAATTTCACACGTTTACCATACTTTTTCGAGTTAAAATGAGGAATTTGTTAGCAAATATTTACTACTGAAGTTTGGGCATCGGTTCATATATAAATTCAAAATTATTTGTAAATAATTTGATAACGCAATTGATATCATCAGTTAAATCACTGAAACACTGTTACTTTAATTTTATTTAATCCTAATAATAATCGCATTTCTTAATATTTGCATCTACTCGGAGTAATTCAGCAGTTCTTTGAAATATTGCTATAATCATCCGCCCTCCATTTCGCCATTAACATGGTTTTCATTCGACAACTAGATAATATCATCAGCTCCGTCTAGATCATTACTTAGCAGAAATAATAACGTTTGAAACTACCAGATTACAAAATCATTTTATGTACAGAAGGCGTCTTTCATTAAATATGGATATAATAAGTAAGCATTTCTGAAAAAAAAATTGAACAACGGGTGCCAGAGCATATATTGAAATAACCTCACTAAAAGACCTGTCATCTAGTGTGTAATTATGGCAAAGCCTCGAGAGCTATCTGCCTAAGGGGAAGGATGCCTTCGCGGAGGACTTTCTAAGGGAAACTGGCTCGTATACACGTTACCCAACCACGAAAATGCCCATGCAGCCAGCCCGTTCGCGAGATTCGAACCTAGGACCGAACTACCAGTGTTCAGCTACTTTACCGCTTAGCCGCTGGTGGGCCACCTGTCATCTAGAAACTGGTGATTGGAGTTCAACTAAATTAAATAAATCATTACCTCTGCAAGGTCAAATTCAAGGTTATCAATAGATTGAAAGGAATGCGGAATAAATTCTTCTCTGGTGTCTTGGTATAAAATTAAAACATATTATTTTTCAATTTAAAAAACTCTAAAACTGCTATAATCTTTCGACTTTCCTGAAAACACGTAATTATCCCACATATGTCAATACATAACAATCCTAAACTATAGAGATCGCCACCAACTCATTTTATCGAAATCTAAAACCAATACCTATCAAGACACCAGGGAAAGGAAACCCAAATATGAAACAGTTCAATCATCACTTCACATAAATATTAAATTAATAAATACTGCAACTATTTTATGAATTCCTCGGCACCTTCAAATATCAAATTTCTCTACAATCATCTCAATAATAAGTGATTAGTAAATGGCATTATACTCGCGTTATGTTGTTATAAATTAGCCCAAATTCTCGTAAGCCTGCATGTTTTCAGAACCTTCCAGTCAAAAAATTAAGTGACAAAATATACCCCAAATGAATAACAACATATTCAAGATTAAATAATAAACACATTTATTATTTATCATATGTTATGATAAGTGGCGAGACTACCACTATAAATTTCCTTAAAGGACAAAAACACACTAAAAAGTCTAAACTAAAACATCTCGTATGATAAAATGTATTCGAGTACACACTAAAAGTCTCTGATAAAATGCATTCGAAGTTGAAGGCTGTTTGGTGAATTATCACCAAGTCCTTAAATTACGACATAATCAGAAGAAGGGTGTAAAGAACTCTTTATTAACTCAAATAAAGTTCACCAACTCATGCTTACAAAACCAACACTTTTGGCTTACCTCAAAATGTAATAAATAACTTAAAAGTAATGAAGTTAAGTATAGATTAACAGCTTCACAGGGTAACTATCCGGCAAGCTGGCTCTGACCTGAAAGTCGGCTTAAACAAGCCTAATGGCAAGAAGCGCTGAACGCTACAGAAATCTAATCGCCAGAGAATCAAAGATATCAACGTGGCCTTCAGGCAAGCAGGGCACGCTCTGTATTCACCCTCCGAAACCCTCACTTAAATACTAACTTCTTAATTTGCATTTTGGCAAGAAAGTGTGAGTTGAAAGCAAGAGTTGTTTAAACATGAAATAACAGTTAAGTAAATTAATTAAATCCCCCAAAACACATTTTATAAGTATACTTATAGACTGAAATCTGAATAATTTATCTTCACCAGTAAAAACATTTCTATTATCCTCAAGCAGATATTAGTATGAGACACCGATCTTTGCCCTATTATTATTAATTTCATTTACTCTTAAATATCCAATTCCAATTACAGATATGTATAAATGATTAATTTAAATTATTATCAATAATATTAATTTAGCATTACATTAAGTTTTCCTTATGACAGAGAATCGAAATTAAAAGTTCTTAACATTACGCATTCACAACTAAACAGAAAAATTCAAACAATTTCTTAACCCTGTAACTTCAAGAGCGAAAAATAAAGCAACAAAATTTTGACTCAAAGGACGAAAGTCCAGATATCCGGCACCCTTCTTCATCAGTCACCCTCGAAACAGCGTCAGTAAGCTTTCCTAGCCTTTCCTTCTCATACAATTAATTTTCCTCAGCCTGATTTCACAGTCCATAACTTCTCCAAGGAAAAATGTCGAGTCGCAGAACAGATACCGATGGAAGTTTCAGTTCAAAGCTACACACGCGCTAGTAACGTTATCCAGGATTCCCACAATGCAATTAATAATTCTCAGATTATCGTCATCAATAAGATGCCGGGATGACTGCAGATAACCTTAAAAATTTATCAGAGAATGGGAGATGAAGCATAAATACTTATTTTTTTTAAGAACTGCGATGAATATATTTCAGCTTATTGTCCGCGCTCGAAGCACTTCGTCCGCAGAAAATGCTGGCCCCGGCCCGCAGGCAAGGCGTCAGTAAAGCAAGTGGGGCTCTATTCCTTACTATTTTACCTATTCCTTACTATTACCCTGAAGTTTATGACAAATCTGAGTTTTATTCTCACACAAGCTTCGAAGAAATCTGCGTTCCCATGCTCACCTAAATTCCTCAGGTTGAAGGGAAAATTGAAATTATTGCTTGACCAAAAGAATTTTCCCTTTTCTCTTTTTTTTTTTTTTTTTTTTTTTTTTTTTTTTTTTTTTTTTTAAATTTTTTATTTTATTTTTATTTTTATTTTTATTTTTAATCCTCTGACAGCCAATCCAAGCAAACTGCTGTCAAACAGCTCATCTGGACCACCTGCAGCTATGCAAACAACCCCGCTAACGAACATTAGACCCCTGTTACCTTTCTAAAACAAGGAGGCCCTAACACATAGATACACTCAATCCTGCCTTTTTAATTTCAACTCGAAGAAAACTCTCTCGGCGATCTTCCGTTCGGAAAACCCATTTATCTCTAAAATGTGACTTTTACAAAAGCCTAAGTAAAGCAAAGACGCCGATTATTACTTTTTATTCCATACATACAGTAACGAAACTCTACTATCTCCTTCTCTCGGTAGTCAAACAAAAGCCTACGGACAAGATAACTTTACACTGCTCTTTTCTTTTATTCAAGAAGTTCCGTTTGGGAAACAGTGAGCAAAAATTTAACCTCAGCTTGCGTATAGATGTCTATAAAAAATACACTTCCTGTTCCATGTCGAGCTCATCTAGAAATTTCAGTCGTGAGAACTGACAACGCAAAGAAATTAAACCTAAATAATTTCAGTTAATATAAAAAATAATCCCGAATAACAATTAATTTAAATCTTCGAAATAATATATCACAGAATGTAAGAAAAACATACAGAAATATCTTTTACCTCTAAATTGTGGCATGTTATTGCATATTTGAAATCATTTGGCAATAAATATGCAAATTTCAAGATCATTTTTGTTTCTCTAGTGCTTATGTCTAATATTTGCTTTAGAAACAGTATAAAAAAAATTAAATAATATAGCGCAACTTACAATCCTCATTTTCTTGGATGTGAAAGCTGGTGTGATTATAGTTCGTACTCTTTTCCAGTCTTCCCCGTTTAACATAAAAGCCATGTTGTCCATCGTCGGGTCGTTAGTGGTAAAGTCCTGCGGAACGAAATGCTTATTTTAATACTCTATCTCAACTTTCGAAATTTTTAATAAAAAAGCCAAAATGTGATTTATATCCGATTTATATCCTTTTCTGCATATAACATTTTGTAATAAAATTTCTAAATTACTTCAGTGTAATATTCTAATAACGTTCTGAATTTCTCTTCGGGAAAACAAATTCAGAAAGACGATAATAACCCAAAATAATGGTTAGCATATTTTTCTAACTTCAGTTAAGGTTTTTCTTTTCAAATATTATTCTTAAACTGAGAATAAAATGATCAGACTTGATCGAAACTTTGGCTTGATATTTATTAAGATATTGTCCTATTTATTTGAAGTTCGATTAAAAATTGGATTGAAAAAAACTATTTCGACAGTCAGAAAAATCGAAAAATAGTGTATAATTTTTTAGCTTCCTCAGAATTTTTAATTATCAGTATGCTATTGTTGATCACAGGACTCACCGGTGAAACGTGAACCCATTAATACACGATAATAATATTACATAAAAATAACTCATTAATACATGATACGTGACCTATTAATACATTATATTTATATAATACATGACACATAATAACCCATTAATACATGATATTTATATAATACATGATACATAATAACCCATTGATACATAATACCCATGATAATAACTCATCAATGATAATAATATATTGGTATAATACAGATAATAACCCATTAATACCTGATGTTAATAGCCCTAAAATAACTTGACCAACTAACAGCGATTAAGGAAACACGAAAAGCGGAAGATCTGCGGTTTTTGCAGGATAACATACGCTCACGATATACGAAAACAAGAATAGAATATATATGACGGCTAAAGCTAATGTAACCGTATCTTGAAAATTTCCATTAAAAACAGAATTTTTTATGATGGCAAGATATTCTGAGCAACAGAAAACAGTATAAAAATTGGAACTTTTTGTCTAGAAAGGAAAACAACGAAGATGTTATTTATTTTTAAACAGTCAGATGGAAATGTTGGGGAAAATAACAGAAATAGAGCATGAAATAAAAAGGCAAATCTAAGTGAAAAAAAATTGTTGAACATTAGGTAGACATTATAAATGTTTAATAGATTCAACACTATTATCGAGAAAATACTGCATAGGGTTGACAACAGAGAAAACGGCGACATAATACACATCAACCAAGATACCCCATATTTTTCTCACGGTGCCTTTCATTATTTTTTTACTGGAGAAGTTGCAGAATGTAGAACATGTTGTAGAATTCTTCATCAAAATCAGTTAGCACCGGGGACAAATAGGTAATTGCGATAGCTCATGAACCTTAAGATCTGTCCGAATTTAGCAAAGGAAAATCGATATATTATCTAATCTCGGTAGTAAAAGATTTATAATCTCCATTTCTAAAATGGCAACAAAAAAGATCTATAAAAGTACTTTACTGGTAGTTTCACATTCAACGGGAGGTGTCCGCCGATAACATCGCGGCAAAAACATCGTGGACGAAAACGTCGCGGAGGAAACAACGCAAGGTGAAAACGTCGTGCTACAAAACATCGTGGGAGAAAACATCGCAAAGAGAAAACATCGCAGTTCTAAAACATCGTGGTACAAAATATCGTCGTCGAAAATAAAGCGGTTCAAAAACTTCGCAGTTTAAAAACATCGTCGTCGAAAATATCGTGGTAAAAAATAAAGTATCTACAAATCATCGCATGACGATAACATCGCAGACATGCTTTTTTCAGGCATGTTTCAGGCACAAGATGGAAAGAAGGATAAATTTTACTTTCATATTTTTTATTAATTAATACATTTTTGCTGAGAAAATAAAAAGGAAACTTAAGCATAAAAAATTAATGCAACTTATAGCAAGCACTTAATAGAATTTTAAACAGACATAGTTAACTAACAAAGGACCATTAATAAAACATTTTTAATAAAGTTTTTACAGGTAATTTTTCATAAAAAGTATAATCTATTAAGTTGCATTTAATTTTCTATGCTTAAGTTTCCTTCTTATTTTTCAGCAAAAATTTATTAGTTAATAAAAAATGTGAAAGTAAAAATTATCCTTCCTTTACATCACTTGCGCTCACAAATCATTATGGGAATATCCATTTACAGTTATTAAAGCCTGAAAAAAGCATGTCTGCGATGTTATCGTCATGCGATGATTAATAGATACTTTATTTTTTACCACGATATTTTCGACGGCGATATTTTTAAACTGCGAAGTTTTTGAACCGCTTTATTTTCTACGACGATGTTTTGTACCACGATGTTTTAGAACTGCGATGTTTTCTCTTTGCGATGTTTTCTCCCACGATGTTTTGTAGCACGACGTTTTCACCTTGCGTTGTTTTCTCCGCGACGTTTTCGTCCACGATGTTTTTGCCGCGATGTTATCGGCGGACACCTCCCGTTGAATGTGAAACTACCAGTAAAGTACTTTTATAGATCTTTTTTGTTGCCATTTTAGAAATGGAGATTATAAATCTTTTATTACCGAGTTTAGATAATATATCGATTTTCCTTTGCTAAATTCGGACAGATCTTAAGGTTCATGAGCTATCGCAATTACCTATTTGTCTCCGGTGCTAACTGATTTTGATGAAGAATTCTACAACATGTTCTACATTCTGTAACTTCTCCAGTAAAAAAATAATGAAAGGCACCGTGAGAAAAATATGGGGTATCTTGGTTGATGTGTATTATGTCGCCGTTTTCTCTGTTGTCAACCCTATGCAGTATTTTCTCGATAATAGTGTTGAATCTATTAAACATTTATAATGTCTACCTAATGTTCAACAATTTTTTTTCACTTAGATTTGCCTTTTTATTTCATGCTCTATTTCTGTTATTTTCCCAACATTTCCATCTGACTGTTTAAAAATAAATAACATCTTCGTTGTTTTCCTTTCTAGACAAAAAGTTCCAATTTTTATACTGTTTTCTATTGCTCAGAATATCTTGCCATCATAAAAAATTCTGTTTTTAATGGAAATTTTCAAGATACGGTTACATTAGCTTTAGCCGTCATATATATTCTATTCTTGTTTTCGTATATCGTGAGCGTATGTTATCCTGCAAAAACCGCAGATCTTCCGCTTTTCGTGTTTCCTTAATCGCTGTTAGTTGGTCAAGTTATTTTAGGGCTATTAACATCAGGTATTAATGGGTTATTATCTGTATTATACCAATATATTATTATCATTGATGAGTTATTATCATGGGTATTATGTATCAATGGGTTATTATGTATCATGTATTATATAAATATCATGTATTAATGGGTTATTATGTGTCATGTATTATATAAATATCATGTATTAATAGGTCACGTATCATGTATTAATGAGTTATTTTTATGTAATATTATTATCGTGTATTAATGGGTTCACGTTTTACCGGTGAGTCCTGTGATCAACAATAGCATACTGATAATTAAAAATTCTGAGGAAGCTAAAAATGTTTTGTACCACGATGCTTTAGAACTGCGATGTTTCTCTTTGCGATGTTTTCTCCCACGATGTTTTGTAGCACGACGTTTTCGCCTTGCGTTGTTTTCTCCGCGACATTTTCGTCTGCGATGTTTTTGCCGCGATGTTTTCGGCTGTAACCCAACGGGAAATTAATGTTAAGGAAGTTCGAAAAAGTGTCAAAATCATTTTGTCGTATTTTGCGAAGCTAGTATCTCATCTCCTATATTTTAAAGAAAAACACCTAGGCTTTTCATACAGAGAGACGTCACAGCGCACAACTCCTTTGCGTAATATACTAGTTATCTAAACTGAACACTCTTCTTGGAAAAAGTACTGACAGTTATAGATAATAAATTTATAGATTTTGATAATATTCCTTCAAAGGCTGCTGATGCTTCTCCAATCGATTATTGTACCTTTGGACTGTTAAAATGAGCTCTTTCTAAATGTAAATCTAAAACAATGGATAAACTGTGGAAAACAGAGAAAGAGGAATGGGGTAAAACAAGAATGCTACCTTAAGAAATGTCTCCTTAAAATTTAGATGTAGTTTGATATAACATAGAAAGAGCTCTCATATAGCTCTCAGATACCAACAAAAGTTACTGGGCTAAAGTTTCATTTTAAATATATATGTGCTTCTGCATTTAACATAATATTAGTTTTTTATAGATCCTATACACACTCACATGCAAACTCACGCATACACTTGAAAAAATGTTCAATAATTTTCTCCTTCCGATTCAGCGTTATTTTAGTTTACGATACTCCTTTAATTTTAATTTCTTTTCCGTCGCATTTCTTTAGCCTCTTATTTTAGTTCTTACCGTATTTCTTTATTTTTAGCCCAAACGGGCGTTATCCCAGAAGGGCTATTAGTTTTGATTTGGTACACTATAAACGTCCATTCTTCTTTTCAAATTGTTGTCACCAAATAGTATCCCCTTGCTTTATGTTTAAAGAAATTAAATAATGAAGAATCTGCATGAATGTGCGTATGTTTCTCGCACTGTGAAAAAACAATGGTACCTTTAGCTATCAAATTTTGAATAATAATCCTTCACCCGAATAGGAGCCCCTGGAAGCCCGAATTGGGATTTGGAGTTTGTTTTATTATCTGTTTCATATTTTGTAAACTTTTAACGAATTTTTCGTTAACAAACTCAACGATTTTAAAGCCAGCAATAGCAGCACTTTACGGAAAAATAAAACATTTTTATCGCCAGCGCGTGAGACTGTCTGTCGGAAATTCTAAAGATATGCTGTTCTTAAATATTTTTAGTCCAAAAGGACACTAATGCTCTTGAAGCGTGTATGTGTATGTAAATGAAACAAGCTCCTTTGGGAGTAACTAAAATCTGAAAGCTTTAAAATTTTTACGTTTTATTTTATTTACTTACTTATTTTTATTATTTTAATTATTTATTTAGATTTTTAATTTATTTATTTATTTATTAAATTCATTTATTTATCTATATATATTATATATATATATATATATATTCTATCTTTAAAACTTACTTCATTTTCATTTATCAATGCACATTTTACATAAATACATTTGTGTTAATAATGAACATAAAATAACATTTTGTTCAGGTTGTCTTACCCTTTTGTTTGAAAATATTTGAAAATCCTTCACCAATATGTCCTTCACGAGCTCTGGTTCAGCAACCATAAGGAAAGGTGTTCGGAACTCAAAAGCGCTAATAAAGAAAATACGGAAATAAAATGTCAGTTCATGTAAATTTATATTATTTTTATTATTTATATTAATTTATATTACACACTGATGGGGTAAAGCCGCTTTAGTATTTTATTTTTATTAATATTAGAGCGGCTTTACCCCATCAGTGTGTCTTTACTTTTAATACCAGAACCGCTTTACATCAGTGTACAACCTGATTCTGTGCTTTTCTGAAGTTATAAAACTTAAATCGTCCATCGTATGTATCTTCCATTCGTGAACTTAATATGAATACAAATTTTAAATGCAAGTTAATTATTATTAGATGATATTTTTATGTCATGTACTTGGCTATATGAAACTCACTAACTTTTAGAATAAGAATATAAATTTTATTTCAAAACAAATACATTCGTGAAATTAATTCAGAGTTAAAAATAATTACTACCACACACTCTATGTGTTAGTTTTCCGATAGCTCATGCAAAATTTCTATGTAATGCCGAACAGGGCTGTATTCAACTTCTCAGAACTTTTGAAAAAAGATTAAATAAATATGAGCTACAGGGGATACCAAACGTAAGAAATTAAAAACATATAAGCATATTGTTATAAGAAAAAAATAAACGAAATTAAATCCTTTCTTCTCGAAATCAGCGGAAGAAATAATTTGATATAAGGTATAAGTTATATTTACTTGGCATCAACTTGGTTTATTCATATTCACTTGGTATTGAAAGTAAATTAAGCAGTTTCTGTTTCCCTTGTTCAACAAACTAAGATATAGTATTTGAAAAAAAAATCTTACGCAACCAAAACTACTTTTTAAAATGTAATAAAAACTGTTAAATGCTTCAAAACTCTGTAAAAGGAAGAATTTTCTAAATCAAATATTGATCAATTCATATGAAGTAATTCTCGGTTATATGAAATGGACAAATCTATGGATAAGAATCATTTAACCATGAAATGTTTAAACAGCATGGGCTAATCTCTTTTAATCTAAGCATTTGCTTGAGACCAAAACTATACTTCAAATCAAATTCTCATTGATAAATAACATGTGCCTTCGATTTAAAATGAACTAAAAATATGTGCTAATAAATCAGAGATTAAATGCATAGAAATCCTTAAAAATTGGGTGCATAAAAACATCTTTCAGATGAAGGATCCAAAATACACTCGTGCGCAAAATTAAAAAAATTTACAAATTATATCTACTTTTACGAAACGTATTGAACGAAAGGTACTAATTATGTCGCCCAAGAATTATGCAAACATTTAAAGTCAAATTCGTAAGCGTACACTTGCGTGTCTGAGGAGCTGTGATTGTGGAGGAGATATAAGCAGAGGGGTTTGAGGAGATTTGTGGACTCCTTCACGACATTAGCCATCTTCCTCCCACAATTTGGGTACATTTTATTACGTATCAGGTAAAATAAAAACTACGAACGTACAGATGACAGAATGAGATGGAGAACTGTCAGTAGATTGGCAGGCCAATCACAAGTGCAGATGGGTACTAAGGTCAGTGTCATGCCCAGTGTCGGCTATAATTTCTGGAAACAGTTTCAGGACACGGATCCAGAAGACCTGGATAAAGTCGATCAAGACCCGCCAGCGACAAATGAGGATCGTTATCTGTCACTATCAGTGCAGCGACACAGGAGTGCTGCAGTTTCACAACTCTTACTTGAGCTGTATGCTGAAACTGGAACCCGAGTTTCATGGTTTACAATTGCTCGAAGGTTTCATGACATAGGAGTAGGGCAAAAGCCCCCGCTGTTTGCGTCTCTCTATCTGCAGCACACTAAAAAGCGCTTTTATTATGGTGCAGACAACATGTGCCTTGAATCATACTTCAGTGGAGCACAGTGCGTTTTACAAATGTTTCACTGTGCTAATTCAGCCTGGACACTGATTCCCAGAGTACCTGTGTCTGGCGAGATCCTGGAAGATGATAACATTCCTCTCTCATCAGTGAAAGGGATTATTACGGTAGTGGATATGTAATGATTTGGACAGACATTATGTTAGACGCCCAAAAACTCCTTTAAGTGTTTGACAAAAGTTCCCAGACTACTATGAGATATCGACAGATCTTAAAACCGTATGTTCCATTTTTCAGAGGCGCTATTATCCTGGGTTAATAGAAGGCAACCCTCGTTCACATAGGGCTCAGCTAGTCGACGATTACTTGGAAAGTGAGAGTATTCAACGCATGGATTGATCAGCCAGATTCTCCGACCTTAACCCTAACGAGCACGTCTGGAACGCTCTTGGAATAGCGATTTGATTTCGTCTTCCGCCCCCCCCCCAAGAACCAGCCCGGAAGTTGAAAACTGCCTTGCTGCAGGAATGCGATCGACTGCCACAAGGGTCTCTCAACTGCCTCCTGTTCAGTATGCCATCATGCTGCGCGACCTGTTTGGCTGTGAGAGCAGACCATACCGTATATTAAACTACTTTCACTTCGACATCACAACCTGGATTTTGGACACCCCTGAACTATGGACTTTACTGAAAATTATGAGCACATAAAATGACTTTTGAATGTTATATCTCTTTCTCTGCTACAAATATGTATTCGTACCAAATTTCATCATAATCCTTTCTGTCCAATAGTCCACATAATGTGGAAATTCTCTTAATTTTTCGCACCAGTGTACTTACTAAACTTTTTCAGATGAAGGATCCAAAATTATTAGAAATCATTATCTTCTGCTAGAAAATAGTTTGAAACATACAGCACTCATGTAGTAACATGTTTATCAAATTATTCGGAAGTGAATCTTTTGTAAAACTTGTAAATATCGCGAATGGCATACGCCCAAGGTAAACAATGTAGCTTTAATTGAGGTTTTAGATTGTTATCCCAAGTTATACTCAATACTTTCAGAAAAGATTTGATTCCGTTTTGATATTTGATGAGTAGCTTTTAGTTTTTTTCACTTAATATAAAATAGCAGTTTGAAAGACTATAAATATACTTACCCAAATATTCTACCATATTTCTTGTACTTATCCATTAGCGTTTCATTCACTCTCTGTCGTTAAAAAGTGAGTATTAGAACGTAATTCTAGAACATAAAAATATTCAGTTTCTAAAATTATATGGAAATGTTAGGAATGAGTATTAAACTGACCTTGTAATACGCATCCCAAAGTATAATTATGATGCTATCACGAGGAGTAAATGGAATTCCACGCTTTTTCCAATAATCGTCATTTTTTCTGTAATATCTACAAAATGATGGGATGCAAAATAACAAAGTACAATAAGTTTATCTAAATAATCCATATCTAAATATCTATCTATCTGCATTCATCTAAATCTATAAATACAATGTTACAGCTAAAGTTTTAAATCTAATTACTAAAAAAAGCTTTCAGAACTCTACTTACAGTAATCGACATTAATTTAACGGTTTATTATGCAACTTACCACGTAAAATTGTGTGTATTATGATACGATACAGCTCTTTTCAGTACTCACTTTGTCATTCAGTTTTGAAACTTTTGAAGTAACTATGAATTGATGTTTGAATATCCAGCAAAGAAACACTTTATTGATTTTGTGTCTAATAAGAATAAGACAGTCTAAATCACCACTGCTTTCGTTTGAAATGGATATATGCCAAACACATACTTCACACTTTACTTCTTTTCATACTTTCCGTAAAACCCAAAATCAATAATTTGACAATGATGAATTAATGATTTCCCAAGTCCAAATTTACGTTAACAGTTTCCAGATATTATAATGAAAAATACAGAAGAAAAATAATAGAATAAGCAAAAACATCTGGATTTCTATCCAAAAGTCCCTCTGATTTCCTTCTGGACTGCTAAACTTGTTACTGTCATCTAAAGTGTAAACATATTCTACCTATTTTCGCTTATTTAATTCAATACTTTATTAAATTTAAATATGCTTGGATAAAAGCCGGGAATATTAATATTACATTTAGAATGCCTCAGGATTGGAGAATAGGGTTTAACGCGACGACATTTCTTCCAGAAACTGGATTGTAAGTCATAGGAATAAACATTAGCCTTCTCTAATCTACTGGTTTTAGTGCCTAATTTTTAGTGATACTGGGGGCATTTCGAAGGTGCAGAATTAGTCATATTTTCTCTCAGCTACTTTAGAATATCGTGCTGAAAGAGATTTTCCTTATTAGAAGCAAAATGGATTTGAAATTTTGATATTATTACCATTACTAAACAATGGGAAAAAAGGGGCGTCTTCAAGAAAACAAAGATGAGAGGGCTGTTTTCTTCACTTAAAACTATTTTCGGGTATCAAAGAGGAATTCTGAGAATAAAGATTTTAAAAGAAAATTGCAAGAGATTTTCATGTCAACTGCACGAACGTAGAAATGTATTAAAAAGCCAAAAAAATTAAATCAGCAACTGCAGCTAAATCAAGCAAGAGACGGGCAATTTTTTGGAATTCGGCTTACTAATACTAGTCTACCAGTCATCCAGACCAGTAGTTCTCTATTTTTTTCCCCATGCACCCATTCATCATTACTAGATCATCCCCCTACTTCCCAAACTTGAAAAATATATATATACATTCATTTAAAATTAGATTACATTCTAATGGGTTTTATAAGTTAACCAACAAATTTTTACACTCATAAAGTAAAAGTAAATACTTAGCAATGAAATAAGTTTGACCACTCCCCTTCTAGTAGAATCTTTCGGTTGAGAACTGTCAAAACGAATGAAGATATCTGCTCTGACATTTTGCCAAAATAGAATACGTTAACATTAGCATTTAGGCACGATGTTGAGCAGTAGTTTTTCCAAATCTTTCCCTAACGTATATAACCTGAAGTTACGAAAAAGACATTATCATTTTTCTGCAATGGCATTATCAGATCGCTGCTCGCATACCATAAATTTCTAGCGAAATTTATAATGGTTTGAATTCTTAAGAAATCTAATTGTTGGGAATTTATAAGTAATAGATAATAAAACATTTCTTTGATTTTAGCATGAATCAAAGGAGAGGGTAATCTGTAACCGAATGCCTAATAAATAGAGTTAAAAATGCCTTTTTAATTACCCTACTGGTGTAAACGCTTATAAACTTTATGAATCTAATACACTATAAAGATTATTTATAATATTTTTATGAACGAAATAAAAGAAAATTTTATAAACAGCAACACAGTCCTTGGATAGCTGAAATATTCCTTTATAATTTTTTATATATGTAACCGATGTCATTACCAAAGCGCTAACAAATTTCTCTGCATAGGCACAATTCCAGTACATTACGTAAATAACTTATCAAATCAAACCATAATTTTTTCCCAGGTTATACAAATGTTATGTCTCTGCTACACATGTAAGACATATATGAAATAAAAAAGGCTGTTCATCTTTCTTTCCATCCCTTGAAATGAGGAATTCTTCGAAATCATTGAAATCCTTGAAGTCATTCCTCTCATTCCTTGAAATTAAGGAAAAATTTCCTTAATTCCTCACAGTCATCTCATTCCTTGAAATTCAAACCCGAATAAAATGTTCAATGTTTACTACTATTATCTGCTGGTATTTCCCACCAGTGGCCAAGTGGTTAAGGACTGCTGAATGTTGGTAGTTCGTATTATGTTGGAACTTAGGCATGTTTGTTTTCCGAATGTGTAATATGCATACAAGCCAGTTTCTCTTAGAAAAGGCCTCCTTCACGAAGGTAGATGGTATACCTTAAGTAGATGGTCTTTGAGTGCTTTGTTTCTTAAAGAAATAAACAATAATAACTGGAAAGTAGATTTTATCTTGGATAAATTATTTTTATTGATATTATTGTCGCTTAAAATGAAATATACGAAACTATTCTTTTTACTTTAGTACTTAGAAGCAACTATAATTAATTGGATTTTAGAAGAAAAAATAATTAATTGTTCTTACTTAAATATAATATTAGCCAAGAGAATAAAAATGCATATTTTAATCGCAAGAAATATACAGAAACATTCTTAATAAACGAAAGAAATTCAACAAAGGAACAATTTTAACAGTTAACTAAACTCACACTTAGTGAAGTGAAATTTCACTGCCTTTAAAAAACACTGTTACGGTCTGGAAGTTGTACCTCACCAGTTACGATTTGAAAATGGTCACCTGAAGATTTCAGTAATAAATACCATAATAATCAATAGGTAATTAGGGGAAACTGTGCTTTTATTGTTTGTTCTGTTTGAATATAATAGTACTATATAAAAACAAATCGTTAAGTGTGATACAGAGAAGTGAATCAAGCAAATGCGTCTAGTAAAATGAATAAAATGAAACCGATCGATTTGCTCGATGCAATGTTAATACAATCTTTTGGTTTATCTACTAAAAATGCAGTAGCTGAGGAACACAAAAAATTGAATAATATATTCCTGTATTCATTACATTCAAGTAGAAATAAATTCTTTTTTTATACAATTTCCTCTTGCTATTTGAAAATTAAAACATTAAAAATGAAAATTTTGCATCGCAAATATTTAATGGCAAGTCCAACCAACTTACCTTAAAAACAAAGCAACGACAACGACTGCGATAGATACAATTATTATCCACATCCTGACGCTTGATCCGAACACAGCCTGAACTTAATTTTCAGCGCAGCAGCTGCAACTCTTAAAATGAACATTTCAGCCAGTTTTTCAGTTAACAGGATATGACGAAATACTCTCACGGACGGAAGGAGTTACTCTTTGATGCCGCAATTAGATACGATTGTAATAATAATTTTTGAATGAGACAGCTTTTTTAATTTATTTTTATTTTTTCATCTAAAAATCAACTTTGCTAAGCTTAGTACATTACATCACTGAAGTGCTTTGATATGTATCGATTGTCAGTAGACAAATATCGCAAGATAAGATGTATGTAGAGTAAGATAAAAACTTTCATCGGTTTTTACTTCCGCTTTTAAATCCGGGTTACTTGGAGTGTTGTTTTCGTTATTCAGTAAAGGCGAAAGAGTTGCGCTTAGCCTTGAGATTTCGCTTTTGACAAGAAAAATAAGAAAAAGAGTTAAATACAGTTATGAGCAAGGTTAGTCCAAAATACTATATTTGCGATGTCAAACAACTTTAAGATTGCAACCTTAAGGCAATATCTAAATTTATGAAAAATTTGAAAGTAGTCATCTGCGCTCAACTGATATCGTAAGGAAAAAAAGAACTGAAAACGTCGCTCAAGAAATGAAATTTTTTTCCTCTTTCGGAGTTCAAACTAGTTTCTTTTTCTCTTGCTTTTACTTTCTTTTTTCGTGATTTTTAATTCTTGTGTCGCTCAAAGCATTTTGACGGTAAAAATTATATTTCTTTTGCAATCTTTCAACATTTGACAACAAAAAAAGAGAGTGAAATTTAATAGCAGTACGACTGCATTCATTTTAAATGGCAAAAAAAAAAAATGTACGTTGTCATTATTTGACGCGGAATCGTGCCTACATACTTTTCTCATTTGAAGCAAAGGGGTAAATGCGTGCCCCTATATACAATTAAGGTAAACATGTCTCTACACTTTATATTTAGGAGAGGTAGCTGCTTAAAATCATAATATTTTAAATAGTGTATTTTGCGTATTCAGAAAAGTAACGCATGTAATAATTTATAACTTATAAAAGAAAATGCTAAAAATTACCTTCTTAATAAATTACAAATAAAGCTAAAATAATATAAATAACAATACAATTTATATAAGAAGTATTGCGCTGATTTTCAAACATTTTTTATTTTGAGGTTGCATTGGTATCTTTCCGGATATTAAGCCGGTAAATTGGGACTTGACTGCATATGCAAGCAAAATAAATGGTGTGTTGGTGTATTTAATTATGGCAAAGCACACGAGATCTATCTGCCTAAGGGGAGGGATGCCTTCGTGGAGGACTTTCTAAGGGAAACTGGCTCGTATACACGTTACACATGGGAAAACCACGAAAACGCCCATGCAGCCAGCCCCGTTCGCGGGATTCGAACCTCAGACCGAACTGCCAGTGTTCAGCGACTTTACCGCTCGGCCGCTGGTAGACCGCAAAAATAAATGGATAAATATATAAATGTTCATAAAGAGAACCTTAACGGAACTCTTATTACACACCGTGGAGGTGTTTACCAGGTCATTATTTAGCAACAGTTGGTCATAGACATATACCTGCAGTTACAAAAATCTTTTAAATGACGCAGAGATTCACGTTTTGCCATTTTTAAATAAGATATTAATTTTGATACATACTGCGAAATCTAACCTTTTACACGTTCCTCCAGTCCCTATACTGATATTTATGAAATTTTTTTTATTCTTTATAAAAAATAAAACACAAAAGTTTTGACCACCGTACGAAGAAAACTGATCGAGATATATATTGGGTTGAAACATAAGTAATGCCCGCTTTTTTAATTTAAAAATTTTTATTTTAACAAAACAAAAAATTAATTAGTCAATAATATCCGAGTTCTTGGCCTTTTCGCATACACCCAAAGATGTCGAACTAGAGTCACTTGGCTACAACCCATTCGTTCGGCTAATTCTCGAGCGCTTTGACTCTTCATCAGACTCATTTGGTCGTCCAGAATGAGCAGCGTCTTCGAGGTCGAAATTTCCATTTTTGAATTTGGCAAACCAATTTCTTGCAGTTCCTTCAGGCATTGCACCTTCTCCATACACTTCATAAAACACTCGGGCATCTTCCGCAGCACTGGCACCTCGATTAAACGCAAAAAGAAGAAGGTGTCGAAAATGCTTATTTTTGTCGACTTGACACTTCATTTTAATGATCTGAAAAATAATAAAAATTAGCTCAGACAAAAAAATCAAATACGCTATCTTGTAGAGGGAAAGATTCTCTTTCGAATAACACAAAACATTAAGCCAATACATTTTATTTTTACTGCGTAATTTTAAACACAACATAAACGACCATTATCTATATTTCAACCCAATAATTTCAAAACTTGAGATTTAATGTTATATTCAATTTGCATTGAGATGTCGGTTAGTAAACATATTAGAATAAAATGAGGTTCATTTTCGTCCCTTAAATATGATTTAATAATACTATTTTGTATTTCCTAGCTTTTTTAACTTAAAATTTTATTACATTTGGTATGTCGAATATTCACACAAACAATTTATAAATTTTCAAGTGCATAATTGTGTTGTGAATATTTTCATAAAATTTCATTACCTTACAAATTATAATTTGGTAATCTTACAAAAAATTATTAAGGTATGTTTCATGCATATAATATGAGCTGGCGCACATTCTGCGAATAAATTCTTCATTTTGAAAAAAAAAAAATTAATTTCAATACCTTTCGCAATGATCTGCATAGAAATGCTGATTATTAAATTTCTTAACTTCAAAAACTTTTTCTAAGTGACATTATAATTTTATTAAGCACAAATGCAAAGTTGTATACCACTCTGAATATGATTTCCGATTTTAAACCAAACAACTCGAGCAGTTTTTTGTCGTACGAATGTTAATTTTTTCCGTTTTATTTTTTATAACTAATCTAACGCCAAACTTTTGTACGCGCTGTTTTTTATAAAGTGTACAAAGTTTGCTAAACATGGGTATAGGGTTCGAAAGAACGTATAAAAAGCTAGATATCTTATTTTATACAAAATTTATTTTTTAACATGAACATGAATATTTTAAAAGTTTAACATTTTCATAATATTAAACGAACTTGGGCTCTTTAAAATTTTGTATGAACAATATCTGCATTAAGTATATGTCTGACACCACGGGCGAATAAAGGGGGTAGACTTGTAAAGCGTATGAATATGGCAATATCTATTTTTGAAATGACCTTTGTAAGGAAACTAGAGACACTATTGAATGCATCATATAAAAATATTCAGCAAATTCTAACTATTGGGAGGGACTAGTTGTTGTAGAAACAGAAGTCATTAAATTGTTTGTTTTATTTGTTCAAATATAGCAAATTACATTACAGCTATCTGCCTAAATGAAAGGATGCCTACGTGGAGGAATTTCTAAAAGAAACTGCTTCATATTCATTTTGTATGTAGGAAACACTATATGATCCCAGCTTTTACTTCTGGGTCCGAAAGGAAAGAACTGATTAGTCTATTTTTTTTTTTTTTTTTTTTTTTTTTTTTTTTTTTTTTAGTATGACAAAATATACTGAAGTTATTTTTTGATCAAGCAGAATGGCTTTGTGAAGATATTTCTAAGAAAAACTAGCTGAGACATCATTGTGCAAGATAAAAACCTACAGAAATGTATGCAAGCGGTTTGTCCCAGCTACCAGAATAAACCTCAGGGAAAGTTACAAATGTTTGTGGCTTTAACTACTTGTCAGGCCAGTTGTTCTGGTGTCTAAATAACTGTTTAAGAAACTGATCTTTGTCAAATACCTATGGCAATACTCATCTCTCATATGCCATAATAGAATCTCATATATCACATACATGTGAATACATATGGTTGTCTTTTTAAATAGTAACTGCAGATGAGCAGCAAGAAATTAAATAGCTGAAGGAGAATGCGGACATTAAGCTATTCCCTCTTAGTGCATGAGAAATATTACAAATTTCCAAATCACTCATGAATCAACTCTAAAACGCTAACATTTTTTTAACCCTCAAAGTCTTACAGCTGATTAACAACTAATTCGTCTCGTCTTTCAGAGCCGTATTTACACTGTCATCAAAATCAAATTTAAGGATAATGACAGAAATAAAAGTAGCTGATACTTAATGAAAAATTATTAATAGAAATTTGTACAAAAGCATTAGTTAACATAAATTACAATATTTGGCAGTTGATTATTCGCAAAGTATTAAATGTAAAACGAAATTTATGGAAATTGAAAAATGATGGAAAAATTAAATTGCAGAAAAATTTTTTCTTTCATATGGTGTATGGTCACCTAGGATAAATATGCATACCTGACATCTTGATTTCATAGACTTTACCAAAGTGTTGATGAAGTCTTGTAGAATTGCACGCCACTGATCTAAAAGTGGATTTTTCAGCTCTTGGAGGGTCCGCGGACGAATTCGGCATCCTAAGGCATCCTAAGGAATCCCACACATGCTCAAGTCGGGTGAGTAAGGTGGTCAATACATTCGAGTGATATCTTCTGTTTATACTCGACGAAGCTAAAAATTTTAATCCATTAGCAAAACTTCTGGGCCAACAGCACCCCTAAACAGTCTAACTTGGTGTTCCAGTACCTCGTCCACATATCTCCGAGCGGTTACAGAACATCCTTGAAAGATATGCAGATATGCTTGAAAGATTCCGATGCGGCCATTGGTCGTGATTCCTCCCCAAAGCATTAAACCGCGGAAACGGAATATTTTCATGGACAAGAGAAGGGAAGTTGTGTGTTTCTTCCTTCTTCCAGATCAACATACATCTAGAATCACTGTTCAGACTATGTCTGGACTTGTCAGTAAACATGTACCAGTTTAAACGGGCCCCTCTCAAAGCTGGAGTGAATGGGACACAAACCATTAGTTTTCTTGCATTCGGTCCAATCCCGTTAAGCCTTCGTGCAGCAGCAGAGCAGCTAATTCAAGTTCCTATGGCAGCATGAAGTTCTAAAACCAAATCCCTTGTAGTTTTCTTCGCGCCAACAAGGATAGAAAACGCTCTTCTGATGCACTTGTTGCTCTTGGTCGCCGTTGACCAAGGCTGTCTGTCAACCGATTCATTGCTTAAAAAGCAGCTCCAGATTTCAAATTTTGCGACCTTCCATTTGTATTTGACTTCTCTCGATTATACCAATTTTTCGCCACTTTTGACCT